AATGAAATAGGCAAATTCTTAGGAAGTATAACAGCTGACTCAAAAAGGAAGAGAAAATATAAGATCTACTTGTCTTACAGATCTAAGACAAGTAAAGAAATTGAATTAATTAAAAATCTTCCCACAAAGAAAAGCTCTGCCACAGATGTTTTCAAATAAGAATGATAATTTCTACACAGACTCTTCCAGAAAATAGAATATTTCCTAAGTCACTCTACAAAACCAAAATCTTATACTAATTCAAAGACACAAAGTAGAAAACTAGAGATGAAAATACAAATAAATTGTTGAGGGATGGTTTTGTGCACTGTATAGACAAACGCTGATTTCTGTACTCAGAGATCTAGTTGCAGTCAACGTTTGACATTGTCATTATTATTGAAGCATGTCCTATATCAATGTTGGTTAAAGTTGTTCTTCATCACCTCTGCTTACTTAATAACTGAACAGCAAATTTTTGAATACAGAACCCATCACTGTCTTATAAACAACTCAATGGTGGACTGAGACAAAATAGTGTCACCAATGTTAAGTCCTATCAATCATTATTTTCTGCTTCCTGATTTTGGATGCAATGCTTCAATCACCAGCTGCCAGGACTTCCCAGTACCCTGGAACTATGAAACACAGTAATCCCTTCCTAGATTTTGTCAGAATACTCTATCACAGCAACAGGAAAAGAAAGACACAAACAATAATCACTCTCCAACACTGATAAAAGAAACTAAACTGAAATAAAGGTATAAATAACCTATGTTCATGAATTCAAACGTCCAATATGTTTTCTTAAGATTTACTTTTATTTATGTATATGTGTATATGTCTGTGTATGTGTGCATGTATGTTCTGGTGACGGTGGAGACTCAGAGAAAGCAGTAGTGAGCTTGCTCAATGTGGGTGCTGGAAACCAAACTCAAGTCCTCTGGAAGAACAGCAAACCCTCCTAATCACTGGGCCATCTCTCTAGCCCTCCAATACTGTTAAGATTGCAGTTCTCTCCAAACTGACCTAAAATTTCAACTCAATCCCTATCAGAACCCCAAAAGTCTTTATGCAGAACTTAACATTTTTTAAAATGTAAATAACCTAGAACATCAAAACAGAACATAGTTTGTGTAGCATGTTCTATGCTTACACTTCTCAATTTCTAGACTTAGCCCAAACCTACAATAATCAAGGGAGTATTGCATACAGACATATAGATCAATGGAAAAGGATTAAAATACCAGAAATTAACTCTTATATACTTAAGTCAACTGACTTTTGACAAATGTACAAATGCCATCTAATGAAAAAAGAATATTCACCTTTTAGACAAATGTTATCTGAAGAGATGAGTTTATACCTCACATAGCATATACACAAATAAAACTAAAATACAAAAATTTTAGAAGACAGAAGAAAAATGTTGAATTAGGCAAAAAAATTACATATGATACCAAAAGCACAACTCATAGGAGAAAATACTAAACTGGACTTCATCATAATTTAAGAATTGGTACTTCAAAAAGACACCAATTATAAAATGAAATGGGAGGGTGTGGTGAGATGGTTCTGTGGTTAAAAGCACTTGTTGCTCTTCCAGAGGACCCAAGGTAGCTCCCAACTCTCAGTGACTCCAGCCCCAGGGGATCCAATGCCCTCTGTTAGCTTCCATGGGCACTAAAAGCACATGGTATACACACATTCAAGTAGGCAAAACATCCATAACATCTTCTACTGGTTTCGATGGGCACTGCATGCCTTTGATGTACATGCATACAAGCAGGCAAAAAATCAATACATAAAATATTTTTAAAGGTGTTAAAAGTGGAGCTGGAGAGATGGCTCAGCAGTTAGAAGAATTCGTTCTTCCTGCAGAGGACTGGGACTCAGCTCCCGCTATTCATATGATGGCTCACAACCATGTGTAACTCCAGTTCCAGGTGATACTATGTCCTCTTTCGGCCTCTATGGTCACCAGCACACACATTGTCCACATGCAGCCATGCAGGCAAACACTCAAATACATATAAAATAAAATAAATCCTTAAAAAAATTAAAGGGAGATGAGAAGAAGCTTAATTAAGGAAAATGCTTGCCATGCAAACATAGACACCTGAGTTGGGACCACCCCACATGCCCAGCACCCACATAAAAGCTGGACATGGCAATGTTCATTTATTATCCAGTGCTGGGTGGCAGATATAAGAGGATTTCTGGAGGCTGCTACCTAGCTATTGTACACACATTGGTGAGCTCCAGGTTCATTGAGAGATGCTCTCAAAAATTAAGATAAAACTCAACTGAGGAGGAATTTAGTATCAACCCATAATATCCACATACACAACACACACACACACACACACACACACACACACACACAGCTGTGATGATTCCTTCCATAGGAAGGACATCTTCATAAGGTCCCAAAAACAAATCAAATATAATTCCATTGCAGTTCACTATGGGAAAGCAGTACGTTTGTTAGGCTTACCAATTGAGAGGTAAGAGATTATGGACAGCATCCTGGCCCACAAGCTGTCACAAAGGAAGGAATAGTTGTTGGTTTCCTCAAAGCCACATAGAGGCCCTTCCCTGAGCAATTAGAACATAATTGCATACAAATTGCTGGGAGGCATGGCTGGAGACTCAGGTAAAGGTATAATGACCACCACCCCCCTTCCTTCTAAAAGGGAATGACAGAAGTCCACAGAAACAATGGATGGACACTTGCTAGCAAGATCTAGTGAAGATGGTGGCTGTTTTGCTCAGAGGACCACACTTTACAGCAGCCCACCCCACCCCACACAAAGAAATTGAAGGGCTAGGGATAGAGCTCAGTGGTAAAGCACTTGGCTAGTATGTAAATGGCCCTGGGTATTTTAAACCCCAACTCTGAAAAATAAGAAAATGAAAAACAGAATGGACTGTGAGAAAATATTACAAACCAAACATCCAATAAAGCTTTCTATGCTCAGAATTTGAATTCTTATTAATCACTAATTTAAAAAAATTACACACAAATCATATTAAAAATGGACAAAGGATTTGAAAAATGGGAACAGCTAGAAATAACAAGAAAAGGTCTATAGCAGCACCTGTCATCATGAAAATACTAACTGAAGCCCCAAGAGCTATTATTTCACACAGCAGTAGTAGAATGGCTACAATAAAAAAAATGCTAGAGGGATGAGGAAAACTATCAGTTGTGGGAATATAAAACAGTACTTTGAATAATAGTTTGCCAGTTTCTTATAATGTAAACATGAATTTATAATGCTCTCAAAACTTTCACTTCAAAGTACCTGTTCAAGAGAAAAGAAAATATCTATATAGTCTTACATGCATTACAGAATAGCCCCCAAGCTGGAAATAATTCCAAGTGGTGAATAAACAAACTGCAGTATATTCATATAGCAGAGTCTTATTTATCCATAAAAAAGAATGAATATACCATTCTTTTTTATATACCACTGATATACTTTGAACCTCAAAGTAATCTAAGTTAAAGAGACCAGTCCAAAAGGGTCACATATCATATGATTCTATTTATGTGAACTGCCAGAAAGCAGAATAGTGGTTGCCTAGGTCCGGAAACAGGAGTGAAAAATCCATCATAAATGATGAAAATTAGACTACTTTTTATTTTTATGTGTGTGAATGTGGTACATGCATGCCAGAGAATGTGTGTGGAGGTCAGAGGTCAATCTTCCACCTTGGGTCTTGTTTGTTGCTACTGCAAGACCACATACAAGCTTGCTAGTCCAGGAGTTCTAGCCAAATTTCCTGTCTTCACCTCTGTCACTGTTAGGAGGGCAGAGTTAACAGATGCACACTACAGATTCTGACTTTTTACATAGATTCCAGGGATCTCAGGTAGTTAGGCTTCTAGGGCAAATGTTTCCCCTGAGCCTCCCTCCCAAATCACCTCTCAGGCCCAACACTGCATTTTCAGTTAATTAAAATATTCAAATCAGAACTGTGATAATATTGGTACAACTCAGAAATTTTATTAAAATTTACTGAATTGTATACTTAAAACAGGTGAATTCATGGCTAATCACGCCCATTCATTGACACTACCTGAGGGCTGAGAATTCCTTTTGAGGGACCCGCCCCCACAATGCAGTGTTCCTCAGAGTGGGCCTTTCTCACTGTTCCCTCCCTGCTGCTCACCAAGCGCTGTTGCTCTGTCAGGAATGCTCAGACTTGGGACTCTCGCCCTAGCTCAATGATGTTAGGAAAGGTAACTGACCCACTTCTTACTTTAAAGTGGTACGATTAGTGTGGCCAGATCCCAAGAGGGCCAGCCTGGTCTACATAGTGAGTTCCAGCACAGCCATGGCTACGTAGTTAAGACTGGCTCAAAAAAAAAAAAAAAAAAAAAAAAACCTCAAACAAAACTGTGGCTCTGTCCTTCCAAAGGAGTGATGGGGAGCTGCAGGGAGGGAATGAGGAGACAGCTCTGGCACACTCCTGTCATCCCCTATCAATCCGGGCTGGAAACATTTGCCATCCCCTGAAGTCCACCGGTCCCCACACCCACAGCCCACGGCCTCTGTCCCGCCCCCATGCCAAGCCTTGAGCGCTCCTTTGACAGAACGCCCTTTTCCAGGCCCTACCTCCTCGGTCGTGTTGTTCCGCTTGCCTCCAAACCTCCTCACACAGAAGTGGTTTTGGAGTGGCGAGACCCCCTGAATGTGGAACGAGAGAGCCCCTGCAGGGACCTACTATCACAATTTTTTTTTCTTTTTTTTTTAGTGCAACAAGTCCCAGCACTAACGCAGAGCAGCGGGAAAGACCTCGAACAGGCGGCCAGCGCCACTCAGCCTCCGTAGCAGGTTAGGGCCTGCCTGGACCGCGTGCCCTGCGAGCCCGGCCCCGCCCACCAATAGAGCCCGCCCACCGCCAGACCCCGCCCATGACGCTCAGCGGTTATCCTGGCAACTGGCGGGAACCCAGAGGGCGTGTCCAGGGACCGCTGTGCGCATGCGCCTGGAGAAGCCGGCTGGGTGAGGGGTCGTCCCCAGGGCCCGGGAGGCGGAAGCGTAAGGGGCTGGGGTTCTGCCATCTGGTTACCGGCTTGGAGTGCTTGATGCGGCAGAAGCGGGAGTTGGGGTCGCGGGGGAAGCTTCCGCCAGGATCCGGGCCTGGGTGCGGCTGACGTGCCGGCGCCCGTGTGTGCGTGTCTAGGGAGACATGGAATACTGTCTGGCGGCCGCGGTGCTGAACGCGTTAGACCGGCGCTCGCTGCAGCGCTCGGCTCGGCTGGGGCGGGAAGTGCTGGAGCGCGCCAAGAGGAGGGCAGTGAAATGGCATTCTCCGGAGCGGTCCAGAGGCAGCGTCGGGGTCCTTTACCCCCAGGGTCCCTACCAGGAACGATGGTCTGTCTCCGACCTCCAGCGCCTCCTAGGAGAGGTGAGGGCGGGAGCTGGGGAACTGTCTAGTCATTCTCTAGGTCTCCACTGGTCGGCAGGGAACCTCCCGAGGCCAAAAAATGCAACTGTCCGGGCAAAGTGCGGAAAAGTCCTTTGAAAACTGCTTTGACACCTTTTGTTTTTTAACACAGGGTTCCATGTAACCCAGGCTAGCCTTGAACTCTTGCCCATGGCTCAAGTACTAGTATTAAAGGGGTACAGTGTAATGTGACCAATTCTTTTGGAGTAACAAAGGAGTAGTAGTATTCTATTTACTTTTAAAGTATTTCTTTCGGGGTGGGGTGGTGCACACCATTAATCTCATCACTCAGGAGGCAGAAGCAGAATGATCTGAGTTCGAGGTTAGCCTCGTCTACATAGCAAGTCTCAGGCCAGCCAGGGCTACTTAGTGAGGCCCCATCTAAAGTAATAAATACAATTCTTACGGTGGTGCCAGAACTTGGAAGATCGGGAATGAGGATCAGGTACAAGTACCAGCGTTTTGTACACATGACCTTGTCTCAAAAACCCTAAACAACAATAACAGTTCTTTTCTGCTACTTTAAGTGAAACCAGCCAGACAATTATGTTAGTTCCTTGATAAATTGCATGTCTGGTTTACTGAGTCAAAATTCTTTCTCAGCAAGGTTCTTATCAGTTCCAGCTTGCAGAAGCTTTTCTAAAAGTAAAAAAGGCTATGTCTCAAATGATGTCCTTCTCCAGTAGGTAACTGTAGATTTCACCTATGACTTGCCGTTTATTCCAATAGAGAGAAGAAAGGTGTCCAACCCTTAGTGCTTCCTTCAGAACAATGGCTGAATTCATGGACTATACTTCAAGTCAGTGTGGGGTAAGTGGCGTGAACTAAACACTGTGCCCCTGATCTGTGCTTGCTACGAATCAGACTGCCCCACCACCTACAGGCCTTCCTAAGCAGATTGGAGTTAATTCAGTTAATGAAGCCGGATGGTAAATCCAAGTTAGAATTCACCAACAGATATTTACTCATTTCCTAAATGTAGTTGTTGAGGGTACAGCAGTAAACAAACCAGAAAAGGCCTTCGCCTGCATTAAGTTTTCAGTTGTGTAGAGGGGTGTTGGGCTAATTTGTTTTACCTCCACAGTTAAGTCAGACTTGGGGATGTTTCCTCTTCCCTTGAAAAGAAGTTAAAAAAATATTCAGGATAACACCTGAGTTGTTTTGTTTTCAAAATGTGTTGAGTCAAGCCTGAAAGTCCCTATGTTCATAAACAGTTGGTGACAGAATTGGCCTTGTGAAGCAGGTACGGCTGTGTGGTTTTCTAATGGCAGGACCTGCTTCCCATGGATCAAACCTTGTTCTGTAACTTTCAGGTAGTCCACTGGTTACTCTTAAGCCTCACCTAAGGCCTTTGACCCAAGCTGTGAGAAGTTGGGAATGCACTTCTGGACATGAAACCTCCCTCATTGTGTTCCTTAGCTTCCCACAATAAAGTCCAAATTTCTAAGCTCCAGACTTTATGATTGACTTCTTTGTTTTTCACTGAGAGTTGAATAGCAAATTATCACAACACCATGCAATATTCATTTACTGAAATGAGTACACAGATTTTAAGTTTTTCTGAAATCTATATACTGGGTTGAGGGAATGTTAAAGGCAGACCAGCCAACACCAAAGGAAAGAAAACATAAGCTTTGTTTCCACGGAGTCACTCCAGGCTTTACATGTGAGTGGCCTGACTTTAAAGATACTGGTGTATAACCAAGATGGGAAAGAATTATTTTCACTGTGCTTTCAGGCTTCAGATGTTAAGATCCCCAAATTGCCAGTCTTTCTGTTTTGTTGGAGATAAGATTTGGAGCAGCCCAGACTGGCCTCATACTTGCTACTTAAGTAAACCTAGCCTTGAACCCAGCCTTGTTGATCCCCCTGCTTCTACTTCCTGAGTGTAGGGATTATAGGCGTCTACTGCTATACCCAAGAATAGGATTTCAGCCAATAAGATGTTAGTATTAGTCCTAAGGTTCTTATTGAACAGTTTGTAACCTCAGCTCTACTACAAATGGGTAACTTAGACATTTAGTTCATGATTCAGTCAAAGGAATAATGGTTGTCTTTGAGGCTTAGCCAACTGGTGTTCTTGTAGGTGTTCAGCTATGTTCCACTTCAGTCCTGTTACAGAATGGGACTTCAGAACTTCTTGGCCTTTTGAAGATTTGGAAAAGTGTTCTGGGTTTGGCTTCACAACTTTAAAGCAACCTTAAAATGTCATAAGTCTTTGTCCTGAGTTCTCTCCCCAGCATCTCACTGCTCTCATCACATTCTTTTGACATTGTTCCTATAGTATGTTATGATAGCTTTATTACTCATAGTCAAGGGCAAATTTAAGGTTAACTTGGAAGAGGAGGAAGAAAAATGTAGCTTTTCTGATCTTTTGGGTTATTCCTACACTAGAGATCTCTCTCCTTCTACTCCCTTATGGAAAATTCTGGAGCAAAAGGCCACATGGCTTTTAGGTTTATGTTTTGTAACCTTCTGTGTTTCTTCAACTTAAGGAAATTATTCCATTCTTCCCTTGTCCTTGTCTGAGTACTTGGAAAGTAAACACAGAATTGTTGATCCAACTCTGTCGGGATGAAATGAAAGGGTGTGTGTGTACTTGGTATTGAAGCAAAGATGTTAAACCTTTACCCTAGCAGAGAACATGATCCCTGTTACCTTTATTTAGTTGGTCAGAGCTCTTGCCCTGTAGAGGCACCAGATGGCAGCAAAGCCATGCCAAATGCAGTTTCCTGTCTTAACCATCTCAGGCTTAGGTAAAGAACAGGTAGGTAATTTACCTTTTTTCTCCTGCTTCTTTCCTAAACCTTACTGTGCAGAAGTATCAGAGAGTCTGGAAATTTGGCCAGGATATTTCAGTGTTCTTTCACATTACTTCTCTAGAAATACTACTCATCTATGCCAGAGGAAGGAGGGTCAACCCATGTCTACCGATACCACAGAAGGAAGCGTCCAGAGATGCGTGTGTGCTCAGACACAGGGTACAGCCAACAGCAAGTATGTCTCCGTCGTTCCACACCCTGCCTGCAGCCTCTCAAGGTTAAGGTCCTGATTTGGAAGTCCCTGTGGGATTTTGTGTCATCAGTTGCCTGTGTGACTCAGCATTACCGTGCTCAGTAGACATGTGTCACTTCATAGCCTCAGAGAACTTCCAGAAATAGGAGTTTGTCTGAAAACATAAGATGATTCATTTCACCCTAGGATCTTCAGTTGAACCAACAATCCTGGGCTGCAGAATTCTTGGACGAGCTTAAGAACCACATATTCTTATATTCTTATATATATCTAGGAATACGAAAGAGGATTGTTTTTTTTAAAGGTGTTGTAAATGGATTAATATTTACTATTGATATTCTTTTAGTAATGCTGCTATTCATACTAAACAGCTATATAACCAAATCACCACACAGAAACCATGATTTATTTAATTAACCTAGAACACAATGCTGGGCAATATTTACTCCATCCTAAACCTCCAGGCCCTCATAGTTTCCTAATGTTTAGATTTCCCACATTGTACTTGCTTTTTGTGAAATATTATGTCCAGTCCATCTCCACGTAGCTCCAAGATCTCTCCTCCAGCACTGTTCTCCTAGCTCTCCTCTAGCCCCTTCTCTTCCCACTCATTTCCTGCCCTCTGGCCCCTCCCCTCTTTCCTGTCCTCTGGCTCCTCCCTTTGCACAACATTGTGGCTAGTTGTTTTATTTTAGCCTATTTATACACAGTTGAGACAGGATACTTAGAATAAGTATCACGATGCAATATCCGGATTGAAACCAGAGGGGGCAGGGCAGAAATCAGCCTTTGAAGAAACAAGGGTAAGGCGCATATATTTCAAAAGAACATTATACCAACATAAAGGTTTTATTTTTGAGCCAGGTAGTAGTGGTGCATGCCTTTAATCCCAGCACTTGGGTTTCAGGTCAGCCTGTTCTGCATAGAGAATTTCAGGACAGCCAGGGCAACATTGACTGTCTCAACAACAACTTTGTTTTTAATTACGTATATGTGTGTGGGTATGTGCACATGAACACAGGGGCCCAGCAAATCTAGAAGAGGATGTTGTGTGCACTGGAGCTGAAGTTAACAAATGGTGTGAGCCACCCAGTGTGAGCACTGGGAACCAGACATGGGTCCTCTACTCTTAAAGATAACAGCTAGAGGCCCCATAGCATGCATTGTCTTTTAACATGTGCTGTCATTCAAAAGCCAAAAGTTCTTTTTATTCAATGGAAGTAGGCTTTTGGTTTTGATTTTTGTTAAAAAACTTTTTTTTTACTTAAAAGTTATACTTAAAGATGGCAGATTTAAGTCCAGATTCAAGTCCCTAAGTTTGACTCCTGACTTCCGGCCTGTAAGTCATCTCAGAATAGTAGGGTAAAGGGATATAGAAAAAAATGACAGGCGTGAGCATGGGTTTATGAGTAGGCTCACTGCAGACTGCAATAATTCTTAATGTCCTCTCTGGATTATGAAGAGTCATGTGTCCTGCAGTTCCCTTCCACCTTGGTCTGAGCTCTCCTAGAGAGCTTAAGTGAGATGCATATATGGCCTTCTTCTTTTCCTGTAATGTGCAAAAGTGGCGCCTCTAAAGGCTTTATCCATGTTCCCTGCCAACACCACTCCTTAGAAGCAGGAAAGAAAACTGTGTTTCTGAGAGTCCATTGAGTATCACAACTTGAGCTTTTCAGTCTTCCATCCAGGATTCTGTGTTACAGTGCAGGAAACCAAGAGTTAAGAGAACCCTACTAGTGAGTAGTAGAACATGGGAGTTGGACTCAAATTCAAGTTTGCCAGACTCTAAAGCCCACATAAGGAAAACATGTGACTAAAAATATTTCTAAATGTACCAAACAGATCATTAATAACAGATGACGAATGAAAAAAGGCATAGGAAGTAAACCTAATAAGATAAAAGAAAATGTCTTTGCTTTCTGGAGGTCAAAGCTTAGGTCCTAATCGATATTCGTCTTGACAGAGAAACTGCAGAGGAGAGACATCTGTTGGTTCAGGAAGCATCTACCAAACATCAGAGCGTTCTCAAGAGGCATTCTGGCCTGTGAGTACAGAACTCCCAAGTGTCCTGGGCTTCACCACCTTTCTGTAAGCCCGCTGACCCATTACTTAGTGGGTTCTATTTGTATGGGCTCTACAGTATCTTCAAATTGGAAGGTTTACACTTGAGGGTCCACAAGATTTTGGTTTGGTGCAAAGTGCTGTTTTTTTGGTGTCCTATCCTTCACTGGAGATTGGAGGGATGTTCTCTGTGCCTCAGCTCATACTTGTGGTTGGGAAGAATGTGAGGTATTCACAGCTCACTTCCTAGGCTCAGCTGGGCTGGCATTGGCTCCTGCTAGAATTCCACCATCTGTTGAAGCAGCAGGAGGACCTAACCCTCTGCTTGTAAAATCCAGCCCATTGCTGGAATTTCAGAATGTGTACATGTGATAATACCAAGTTCCAAAACATTGGAAATGTGTCTGTGGAAAAAAATAGAAATAGATATGAGCTTTTCACTGTCAGGACCCAGGAGTAAGTAGTCTGTAATCCTAGGGAGTTTGTTTGGGACTTGGAAGAGCTGGAGTTCTGAGGAAAGGAACTTGGACACACTAAATCCCTTTTTGTTTGTATACAGTTTGTTACTAGCCAGGATTCAGATCATTCTAGAATTATTAGCAACTAAAAAATTCTGTTTCTAATACAAATGCAATGTCAGGCACGGGTATCTCCATTGATGGTAATTCTGATTGGCCTGTTGTTCCAGTGTGAGAGATGGATTTTTTTTTTTAATGTGTATGAATACTTGCATGTATGTGTACCATATGTATGCCTGGTACCCTCAGAGACCAGAAGAGGGTGTCAGGTCCCCTAGAATTGGATTTACAGGATTTTGTAAGCCACCATCTGGGTTCTAGTATCATGTTTCTGAAGGGAGTCTAGCAAACATTTAAAAGAGCCATTCTTGTTATTTAACAGACCTTGCCAGTCTCTACTCAGAGGTGCCATTTTCTACTTCTGATCCCCAAGCAGTAGCTCTTACCCTTTGCCTTTGCCTGACTTCTACGTCACCTAGTGGGTATACTGCTGCTGTTTCTACTGCTGCTGCTTCCTCCTCCTCTTCCCCCTCCTCCACCACCACCACCACTACTACTTCCTCTCCTTCTTCCTCTTCTTTTCTTCTTTTCTTTTCTTTTTTGGGTTTTTCAAGTCAGGGTCTTTCTCTGTGTAACCCTTGCTGTCCTAGAATTCTCTATGTAGATCAGGCTAGCCTCCAGCTCACAGAGATCTGCCTGCCTCTGTCTCCAGAGTGCTAGGATTTAAGATTTGAGTAACTACACCTGGGGGTATATTCTTTTTATAATTCAGTATGTTCCTAAAACACTTTGTCGTTTACAAAGTTTTCACATGCTTGTTCATGACATAGGTATTCTCACAGATTTAGAAACAAGGCAATGAGTATAAAGGCTAAAAATCACCAAAACAACAGTGCTATCATGTGACCAAGCTTTGCTTTGAGAGTGGGACCCCATATCTGTATGTTTTGCCCTACCTCTGGCACACAAGGGCAGCCTGGTGGAGATGCTCACGTGGCTCTGAGCTCAGTCTTTAAACCACCGTACCTCTTTTCCTTCCAGATTGACAACATCTCTAAGGACCTCTACATAGAAGTGTACCCAGGGACCTATTCTGTCACCGTGGGCTCAAACTCCGTCACCAAGAAGACTCATGTGGTTGCAGTTGACCCAGGGCAAAGTGTGGACTTGGTCTTTCCCATATGACGTTGACCATTTTACTCTTTTTAAGTAGCAGGAAGAATAAAACCACCTTATAATTGTCTTAATAATGATACATCAATCCTGGTTTTAATGAACTGGAGTCTGTCTCTTTCAAGATCATTTTAAATTGAAATTGTAAAAGTCCCCCGTCCTTGTGTGCCTGAAAACAATAATGTAATGGTGCTGTCTGAACAGCTGCTTTTATTACTAGCTTTCCAAGAAAGTGTTAATTATGATAATAAAGGGAGAGATTTGGAAATAAAAAGAATTCATTTTATTGGTATTAAAAAGAAAGAAACACAGTGTTCACCATATACAGTTGTAGGCTTTATGAGAAGACAGTGGAGATGAGATGCATTTGCCCAAAGCAGTGGACACAGCCTGTCCCTTCTGTGAATAGGCATCCTAAGCAGTTCATCAAGCCACTGCCAGGGAGCTCCAGTGCAAGACCACAGTCTCCTGTGCCCCTCACAACAGGTTCTTGCGAATACTGCTAACCTGCAGGAGATCTCAGGGAAGCAGTTGGTGTTAGACACTTGCCTGCCCCTGCTCAGCCTTCTTCTGTAGAAGGTTCTATCAGCTGCTTCTTATAACCCCTTTTCAAGTGTTGACTTTATTATCCTTTAACTTCCTGTAAGAGAACAATCTTAAATCGTATATGCTGGTTGTAATTTTTTAAATTTTTGTTTTGTTTCTGTTTTCTTTTTTAAGATGAGACAAAATCTCACTCTGTAGATGAGCCTGTGTCACCTAGGTTGACTTCAGACTTGAAACAATCTTCCAGCCTCAGCTTCCCAAATCTTGGTATTTACAGGTGTGAGCCACAATGTCTAGCTTGCTTCTTAAGATTTTTTTATGTGCGTGAGTATTTTGCCTAAATGTATGTATGTGTACCACATGTGTACCTGGCCAGAAGATGGTTGTGAATTGCCATGTGAGTGTTGGAACCAAACCTGGGTCTTCTGCTGGAGCAACAAATGCTCTTAACCAACAAGTCATCTCCAGCCCCAGTTTTTTAAATTATGTGTGTGTGGACTTGTGCACCTGTGATTTTAGGTACCCTCAGAATCCTGAAGGGGGATCTGATCCTGTGGAGCTGGAGTTACAGGTAGTTGTGCACTGCCTGAGTTGGGTGCCGGGAACATGTTACTGCACATACTCCTGGAAGCCTGGGATGGACTTGGTGGGGAAGCCTTCTGACATATGCAAGACAGTGCATATGTGTGGTTTTCTGGGAAGGAGCCATTGTTTTACAGTCCTCAAACAGAATATGACACCAGAAAGAACTACCTAAGGAGTTCCTCCAGTGCCCTGTCCGGACATTCTGCTTTACCCAGATGCCCAGGACTTTTCTTCTAAGGGAATTGTTCCTCTGGTTGTCCCAATGCCTTGACTTTGTTGTCTGTGTTCAGCTTCTGGTTGAGTCTGCATCATGGTTTCATGTTGGTGGCTCACAGGGCTAGCTCCTGGGTAGTCCACACTACTGAAGTTTGCAATCTGTCCTGTTGGTTGTCCTTGTCTTTTTTCTTGTTGTGGCAATGTCTTGTTCCTAAACCAAGATTAGTGAGTGGGGCTGGTGCTGGAGACAACAGTGGGTAACAGCTTTTCTTTTCTTTCTAGCTTAGTATCCGTGTAAGGGAAAGCATGAAGCCATGTGTGGAGGACAGAGGTCCCACATAATCAGAGGACTTCTGGAACTTGACAGACTGATATCAAGTACTGTCTGATGGAGTGTTGGTGCTTAGTACTGATTAAATACCAATTGTATTTAGAAGCCAGACATTACATTTCCTTATAAGAATGCAAACCTGGAAAGGAAAAGCTCTCTCACCTACTGTTGTCTCTAGCCCTGGCCAACACATGGCTTTATGCACATCAGTCATGTCTGCCACTTGACTATGACAGGCAGTACCACATCTGCATTGTGGCTCCCACTATAATCCTAGAACCCAGCCAGTGTGGGCTACAGAACCAGGCCCTGTCAAAGCTGCTGAAACAACAAAAACAGCAGCAGATGGGACTTCTTGGGAATAGAGCTAAAAAGGAAAAAATATCTGGGGATGGTCCTTTCCCCAGCCCCCATCCCCACCTCTGTCTAGAACATTCTCTATGTAGATTTAGGATATTCCTGATGATACTCAGTGGGTCAGCTCCAGAAATTATTTTTTTCCTGTACTGCAACAAAACACCAAAGATCCAAAAGATACATTTTTCTTCTTTATAATTAATTATTAGAATTATTTTCTTTCTTTTTTTTTTTTTTTTAAGATTCATTTTCAGCCTGGCAGTGGTGATACACACCTTTAATTCCAGCACTTGGGAGGTAGAAGCAGATGGCTCTCTGAGTTTGAGAACAGCCTGGTCTACATTGTGAGTTTTAGGGTAGCCAGGGCTATACAGAGAGACCCTGTCTTGAAAAACAAAACAAATAAATCATTTTTATTCATGTATATGTTTGTATATGTATGTGAGTGTATGTCATACATATGTGGGTACGTGTGGAGGCCAGAACAGGGTGTCAGGTCTCTGGAGCTGGAGTTAACTGATGATTGTGAGCTGCTGCCTGATGTGGATGTTCTCAGGAGGAGCAGTAGTCACAAGGTTTCTCTGTGTAGCCCTACTGTCCTGGAACTCACTCTGTAGATTAGGATGGCCTTGAACTCACAGAGGTCCATGTGCCTCTGCCTTCAGATGCTAGGATAAAAGGTGTGTGCTTGTCCGGGGTTGGTCTGATGCTTACATTTTGATCCTAATTACTGGCCCACAAGATTTGGTTATTGCTCTATCCTTGTCGTGTAAACCTGCCTAAGACATCATTCCTGATTGGTTGATTAAAATTTCTAAAATCTGGGCAGGGCAGAATGGAGTAGGTGTGGCTAAAGTTTCTGGGCTTTGAGTGCAGGAAAATCATAGGAAAACGATGGACAGGAAGAGAGGAAGAAGGAGGACCACAATGGGTGAACATGGAAAAGGAACCACGTGGGCTGGGAGAAAAGACTCCAAGGATGGCGTAAGAAGAAACATCAAGATGAAAAATATGAGCAAGTATTTATAAGATTATGGATGGAAGGTAGCCCAGATGGGAATGGTTAAGGCAGATGGCATTGGATGGGGGCTGAGAGATGAATGGCAAGGTTATTGAGATAGCATAGGTAGAAATGTCTGCCCGCCCAAGGTAAATAAAGCAATTATAAAATCTAACAGGTCTCTGTGTCTTACTAATTGTGAAAGCAGGTTATATAATACTGTCATAATAATTATAGGGCTAACAATAAACAGTATATAGCATAACACCAATTTTATTTACAACTCCTCAGCTTTTTTTTTTTTTTTTTTCTTTTTAGTTAAATATATATAGCTGAATAGACTTAGACCTGCCCTGATTCGTGCCCAACCCTGGGGTCTAAGAGGATTCACCCAAGAAAGTAGAAACAAGATCTCAGTTTCTGGAACTGAACATTTACTCCTGTGGAGAGAGTGCTCACAGGCTGAATAGTCCTCTGGCTAAGCAGCTGTTCTAAGAACAAGCCAATGGCTTCAGACAAGGATGTGCAGTGGGTCTTACACAGTGCCTGGCGGCCCCTAAGCCCTCAGCAATGGTGTTCTTAACTCTCAGAGCATAGTATATCCTACCACACAGATCCTTACTCAGTGGATCAGTGACAACAGGCCTCCAGAGTCCAGCCCAGGCCAGCTTCCTCATGCAGCTGCCTCCCCTAGGCAATCTGATGGGAATTTAGATAGGATAGGGAGGAGGTGGAAAATAACAAGCATCTCCTCCAGCCTACCAAGGTATGCTCCATATAGTCCTCAGCTCAAGTTGTAGCCAGGAGTGGCCAATGGATCTGTAGTAAAACAGCAAAAGGCAGTGTTCCCCCTCTCTTACGAGGTATAGATCAGAGCACAAGGATCAACCCATCCTCTCTTGTTTGGGTGGAAGCCCCCACTTCCTTCAGCTGACAGTCTACCCCACAGCTTGCTTCCCATACATGACTTACAAGCCACCAGAGTGCAGCAGATTCCCAGGAGACCCATGCAGCCCCTCGCTACTGCCTGGGGAGCTAGCGACACACCTGGTATAACATACCTGACTTTCCGGGGGGAGGCTCAGGCCCGTTCCTCCTCCAGGGCCTCCACTCAGGCTGGCAGGGCCTGTGCTGCCGCAGAGACTTCTCAGAAAGGGTGGGGTCAGTGCTGACTGCCCTGCTTACCATCTGTCTCTGGGGCAGTCGCATCTCCAGGTGACTCTCTGAATTCTCTTCCTCGGAGGAGGGCATATTAGAATTGAACGTTGCTAGTGCCTCCTCTTTGGGACCTTGTAGGGACAAAAGCTGAGCCGTGGGCTTCTGCTCTGGCTCTGGGAGTTTTCTGGTTGTGAGCTCTGAGGTGCTAGTTAGAGGCCACCAGCTAGGCCCCACCATAGGGCAGCTGCTCCTATACAGAAGCTGGCAGTGGGCACAGGAGAGACAGAGAGGGCATAAGGAGGACACGTTCAAAGGAGGCCTCTGTGTGCTGCATCCTGTGTTGGGTCCCAGCTGAGAGCAGTGAGGTGCCCAGAGACAAGAACTGTGACAATCCCTGGTCTGACATGTTTGTAGTCTCTCCACAGCCTTCTTCCAGACAGTGGGGGGCACCCACCTGACCTTGTCTAGAGGTACCTCAGTTGTCTTGCCATTCCAGAAGTGAACAGTGATTTCTTCTTTAGATGCTATGAACAGAAATGGGAGACTGGTTTTTGTTTGTTTTATTTTGGTTTTTGTTTTGTTTTTTTAATTCCTGATTCTTGAAATCCCCAAAGCCAAAATCTCAGCCCCACCCCTCTGCTCTTCCTGGATCTTCATGGGCCACTGTGCTCAGAGAGCCTGTGGGAATGTCCCCTTCTGTACCACACTGACCATCAGTTCTGGAGAATTTACTGCCACCTTGCTGCCTCCTTGACCAAAGATGACTTTGAAGGCCCTGGTTTTCATTCGGAACCAAAATGCAGCCTCAGCAGAGCTGTGCTGGTTGGTTGGTACAAAGAGATTGTCAGTCCCTGAAGGACTTGGTGAGTGATGGGAGCTGAGCCTCCCATGAATCTATAATGCTTCTCTTCCCCCACCACACACAATAAGGTCTTTGTTTGCTTTGTTAGAGTTTTTGAGACGGTTTCATTGTACTCATTGTGTCGCTGGGCTGCCTGCAGATTCCTGATCCTCCTGCCTCAGCCTCATGAGCACTGAAATTACAGACACAACATCACACCCAGCTCATGCTCATGCTGCGGTTTAAGTGACATACACACAGTGGTTTCAGGTTGTTTCCCTTGTTTCATCTTATACTTTGGTTTCCTATTGCTTTGTTTCCTAAATATTTTTATTAATTTTTACTCTGTGTATGTGGTTTTACCTGACTATATGTATGTATATCACATTCATACATGGTAGGGGCCCGGAAGAGGATATTGGATCCCCTGGGATTGGAGTTACAGAAGGATGTAAGCCTCCATGGATGCTGGGAACTGAACCTGGGTCCTTTGCAAGGACAGCAAGTGCTGTTAACTACTGAGCCATCTCTCCAGCCCCCACTTTTTGGATTTTTGAGAAACTTGTATTGCCTAGGCTGCATCAAACTTACAGCAATCCTCCAGCTCAGCTTTCTGAGTGCTAGCATTACAGACACAAGCTGCCAGCGTCTACCCTCCCTGATAGCAAATAGAACATAAGCCTGGAAGATAGGGCTGTGGCTCTGAGACCCTTGAGCTCTGACCTCCAGCAGTGTGCCTTCCCCCATGGCACACCTCCCCCACGGTCACAGGGGGTTCTTTACCTCTTTGGCCTTTTTGTTTTTTCAAGCCCAAGAGAACAATGCCTGGGCCGTACTGCTGTTGCTCCGGTTCCCAAAGTGCCAGCACCTTGTCCCCTGGTTGCAGTGAGTGTGACACGGATGGTGAAAACTGAATGACGTCTTCTGGAAATACCACTCTCTGCTGCTGGGTTGGCAGCTTTAGGCCTGTGACAAGGGGAGCCTCAAATTCCACAACCAGGGCCCCCCGCCTCTCCAACTATGGAAAGAAAACAGTAAGATTTGACATTAGGGCCTAAGGAAATGGTTCAGTAATTAAGACTGGCTGTCCTTGCAGAGCTCCAGAGTTTGGTTCCCAGCACTCACATGGAGGCTCACAACTATCCATAATTCCAGTTCCAGGAGATCTGACACCCTTTTCTGGCCTCTGTGGCCACCAGGCACACACATACATGCAGGCTGTCTTAGTTACTTCTCTAACGTCTTGATAAAACACCATGACCAGGGCAACTTATAAAAGAAAGTGTTTTGGGCTTGCAGTTTCAGATGGTTCGAGCACAGGGCCCCCATGGTGGGGAGCATGGCAGCATGCAGGCAGGCATGGTGCTGAAGCAGTACCCGAGAGCTTACATCTTGATTCACAGGCACAAGGCAGGAAGAGCTGAAAATGGCATAGGCTTTTGAAACCTCAAGCCCCGCCTTCCCCACGACACACCTCCAACAAGGCCATCTCCACTGATCCTTCCCAAACTGTTCCACCAAATGAGGAACAAGCACTCAAATATATGAGCCTATGGGGGGAGGGACATTCTCATTCAAGCCACCACACAGACAAAGCACTTATACACATAAATCTTAAAATTAAATAAATACAACAGAGGAACAGTATGATGATGCAGTTTGGGGTCAGCCAGGGCTTTATACTGAACTTTATACTGACTTCCAGGCCATGCTGAGTTACATATCAAGTACCAGGGCAGCCGTGGCTACAGACTGAGACCCAGTTTAAAAAAAAAAAAAGGATGGGAAAAGAAGATGGCTCAGTCAGGAAAGATGCTTGCAGCCGTACCTGGCCAACTGAGTTCCATTCCCAGGACCCAAAACTGAGAGAACTGACTCCCCCAGTCTTCCTCTGGCTTTCACCCACATGCCATAGCATGTGTACACACATGAACGTGTGCATACACACATGAAACCATATTCACAAAGTCTTACTCCAAAGGAAAAGTCCTGGAGATGGGTAATAGCAGAGAGCATACTTAGTATGTGCAGGACCGTGGGTTCTGTCCCTGGTGGTTCAGTGTATAACCCAAGCATGGCAGTAAAGCCTGTACTGACAGCACTTGAGCGCAGGAGGATAAGAAAGTCAAAGTTCAAGGCATCCTAGGATATATGAGGTCCTAGCTCAAAAAATTAAAACTTGAATCCAAGAGATCGCTCAGTGGTTAAGAGCACTTGTAATGACCCCAAGTCTGGTTCCCAGCTCCCACAGGGCAGCTCACAACTGTTTGTAACTTCAGTTCTAGGAAGGCTCTGATGTCCTCTTCTGGCCTGTGTTGGCGTTACATGCACGCATAGTACACTTACATTCACGCAGACAAAACACACACATGATATAAAACTAATTTTAAGAAGAGAAAGCCACACTTGGGAGGCAGAGGCAGATGGATCTCTATGAGCTCAAGGCCAGCCTGATCTATAAAGCGAATCTAGGCCAGCCCAACGTTTGTTACACAGAGAAACCCTGTCTTGAAAAAGAAAGAAAAAAGAAGTCCAAAAGAAATAGGTTACCACTGACGTAGAGGTCAGGCCTGGCTCCTGGCATTTCAGGAACAAGATTTTGTGTATGAGAGCAAGTGTACTCAAATGTGGGAAATACACAGTCTGTCCTGTTTCTCTCAGGCTCATGCCTATAGTTCAACATAGAATCTTCCTGAACAGCCAGTGTACATGCTTCTCGATGCTAAGGGCTCAATTCCCTCTTCTGCAAGTTGACGTATTCAAGCCTTGGTCCCACTACCCCAGCATATGATCTGTTTTTAAGAATCAGGCCATTGCAGGTATAATTAGTTAAGATGAAGTCACAGTGAGCATGGCAGGTCCTTCTGACTGATGTCTTTATGCCAAGAAGAAACTTGAGGGGCTGGGAGGATGGCTCAGTGGTTAAACACTTCCTGTTTTTTAGAGGACCTGGGTTTAGATCCTAGCACCCACGTCAGGCAGCACACAATTAATCACCTGTAGGTCCAGCTTCAGGAGATCCAATGCCCTCTTCTGGCCTATGCATATATACATACAGTGAGACACATATACACATAAATTAAAAAATACTTTGGAGAAAGGAAATCTGAATAGATAATATTCAGTGGGAAAGCCAAGTCAAGTTGAAGGCAGAGATCAAGGTGAGGCAAGCCTAGGAAACTCCAGGATTTTGAGCAAATACCAGAAACTACAAGTCGGGCAGGAAACAGACTCTTCCTTATAGCCCTTAGAGCCAACCTTGAAATGCCTGGAGAAATGGAAGCCTCAAGAAATGGGAGACAATGGGTTTCTGTCACTTAAGCTGCTTGTTCTGTGGCACTTCACCACAAAGCCCTCGAAACTTAGCCAGGAAAGCAAACTTTGGAACGTATACAGCTAAGACCCATCAGGTGCAACAGAGGTCTCCAGAGGAGCACGTGTTTGAGGAACCTGGGAGAAGCACTTGCCTCTGGAGCAGCCTTTATCTGAGCCAGGTAATAAAAGCCATCTGGTTCCCTTCTGGCCAGGACCTGGGGGCCAGTGGCATCTCCGACTCTTCCCAGCCAGCTAAGCCCCTGCCACGGCCTCTCAACAGTGTGGAAACATGGGTGACAAGAGGTACACCTGGGAAAAGCAAATGAAATCAAGGGTGAACACGAAACCCTAAAAACATCAGTAGGACTATAGAAAAGGCTCAGAGGGTGAATGTACTTGCCTCATGATCTGAGTTCGATCCCCAGACCCCACGTTATGAAAGGTTGTCCTCTGACCTCCATGAGTGAGCTATGGTGTGTGTCCCCACCCAGATAAATACATGAGTGAAATAGAAAGCAAAGACAATAAGAACCAAACCTGAGTCTGAGGAGATGCACTGAGGAGAATAAGGGCGTGTGCAGCAGAAATCCAGGGAGAATGTGGCAATCTATAACATCCTGTAAGACCAGCTAAACCTCTGGAGGTAGCAGAAAGTGAAGGTCACAAAAGGCATTTTGGGGGCTGGGCATTGTTTCACGGTGACCAAAATGAAATCGGCTCGCATACTCAGGTTAATTGATGCTCAAAAGAAGAACTGGGAGATGAGTCCCAAGACAGTGTGGGATTCTGGAATGAGGTACCGAAATGACAAGGGAACCAAACTGAAAAGTACGTGGCTCCAGGGATCAGAGGGAGGTGGAAGTGCAGAGTAGCTCATGAAGGGACTGAGGAGTAGTTGAAGGCTTGAGTGGGAGGGCTCTCTGGCCTGGGGCAGTAGCAGAATAAGGGATCTGTCCTTTGAGTTGTTTGGTTTGGTTTTTCTGAGACAAGATGTTTCTGTGTAGTCCTAGCTGTCCTGGAACTCTCTCTATAGACAAGGCTGGCCTCAAACTCAAAGATCCGCCTGTCTCTGACAGAATTAGTGCTGGGATTAAAGGCCTGCTCCACCACTGCCCAGATTTTTTCTTTTAAATTCAAATATTTATTTTATTTTTTGAAGTGTGTGTGTGTTCAGATTCCCCAGAAATGGAGTTGCAGGTGTTTGTGAGCCACCTGATATGGGTGCTAGGAATTAAACTCAGGTCTTCTTCGAGAGCAGTATGCATGCTTTAGTGCAGAATACCTCTGCAGCCCAAGAGGGTCTGGGTTTTTTTTTAAACACTATTTTTTTATGCAAACTTGAATATAAAGATGCTTAACTCAGCCTTGAACAAGGTGATGCAAACAAATAAATTAAGAACTCGAACAATGGCCTGGAGAGATGGTTCTGTGGTTAAGTGGTTGTGAAACTTGCAGAGGGCCAGAATTTAGTTAGTTAGGCTAACACTTTTCCGTATGTGACTCCTGTTCAAGCAGATCCACTGCCCCCTTCTGGCCTCCTCGGGTACTGTATGCATGCAGTGCTCAGAGATACGCAGGCAAAATACCCATACACTTAAAATAAATTTTAAAAAAGCTAAGTTGAGCATTTGGGCTGTCGCGGCCCTACCCCAGGCACACCGATCCATAGATCTTGCTATAGACTGAAGTTCCTTTGTCCTCTCATAGTCACACTTTAGAGGGCTTTCTGGAGATGCTATTTTGGGAAATCCCAGCCATTTGAGGACATCCAAGTGCCATTAGGGCCAGGAACAGGACAAAGGTAGGATGGGTGACGGAGACTGGTACCTGGGAAATGTGCAGCATCTAGGCAGCCGGGGTGCTTGCATGGCAAAGGGACAGGTGAAGGACAGGTCGGAAGATGGTGCAGCACCATCCAGGTCAGGGGCTTCCAGGGTTGTGGCCACACTGCAGTATTTGGGCAGAAGCAGCCCAGGCCTGGAAGAGGGCTGCATGGCCCTCCGAACACCCACCTGGAGCAAACACAGGTGTCACAGCTGTAGCCTCGGCCCAGCAGAGGACACACGCCAAGGTTCCCACACATACCCATTTCCCCTTTGGAGCACCTATCTCAGAACGTCCCTCGGGAGCTAGGGCGGGCTGGAAGCTTAAAGAAAGCCTGCTCTGAGCGTCCTTCAGACGCGTGCTCACAGCCTGTTACCTCTCCAGAGGTGAACCCCGGGAAACACCTGGCAGCTCAGCTCCAATTGGGTTTTATCTCCGCCCTCCTCCCCAGTGCCAGGGACTCCTGGAGTATGCCCATTCTCATTATACACCCGGCCGTGACTAACTGACCCCCCACCAGAAGCCACCGACTCCCCCGCAACCTGGCACCTGCAGGACTAAATCAGGGCCATCTGCCACCTACGACTTCTTAGGGTCTACCTCTGCCCAAAGCCACCAGTCTGACCCCAAAGGGACTTACCTAAAACCCCAAATCCAGCCTAGACCTCGGCCTTGCCCCAGTCTCTGCCTCACCTGACAGCTTAGGGCCTTGGCCCAACAACTCTGTTGCCAGGCAGGTTGCCAAGCAGGTTGCCATAGATGAGCCAGCAGGCTCACCAGGGCTTGGGAAGGTACTGAGCATGTGCATTGGGAAACTTAGCATTGGGGATAAAGTGGGGGAAAAAGGGCAAATTGTGTATTCTCCCTTTATCTCAAGGGCTGCCTCCTCACAATGATCACATATTAGGGGTGTTAGGAGAGTCCTAATAGGGTGTGCTGGGCTCTACGAAGACCAAGCCTGGCTGCTTCTGCCCAGTGAAGGCAGGAGATGGGGCTGGGAAGCTACTGGGTGACCTAGGGACTCCTTATAGTTTAAAACAAAATAGCCTTAGGGCTAGAAAGACAACTCCCTGGGTAAACTGCTGGCTCTGAAGCATGGAGACGTGTGTTTGGGTCTGCAGGGCCCACCTGGCTGGGTTTACAATGCTAGCTTAGAAGGATGAACTAAATGGACAAGCAGTGATGCAAATGGGGAACTCTAGATTCAGTGAGAGATCCCGCCTCAAAGAAAGAAAGAGAGAGAAAAGAAGCAAGAGGGCAGCTGAGGAAGACACCTTCCAGCCTCCATGGGCCCATGCTTGTGTACACACACACACACACACACACACACACACACACACACACCACTAAGCAAAGGTATGGGTGTGTTTGTAACAAAAGGAAGTCACTCTTCTAAGGAATAGAATAGACCTGTGTGAGCTGTGGAAGTATGGGAAACAGACCAGTAACCAGAGGAATAGAAGTCCAGATTCTTTGGGGCTAGAGAGATGGCTCAATGATTAAGGGCACTGGCTGGGTCTTCCAGAGGACCCGGGTTCAATTCCATCACCCACGTGACAGTTCACGCTTTCTGCAACTCCAGTTCCAGGAGCTCCCACACGCTCACACAGACACACGTGCAGGCAAAGTACCAATGCCCATAAAATAAATAAATACATCATTAAACATTCTGCCAGGATCCACAGATTAGTATTTTGAGGCAGCTGTGGTGCTGTGAAGAAATACCTGGCCCTGTGCTCAACAAAGAAGACCCAAGAAAATGCAGGGGCCCAAGTATGGGTGTGTCTCCCTCATCTGTGCTGCCCACCCACCAGTTCCTGCTTAGAACTATGGATCCACGTGCATATCGGCCAAATGTAACCCAGCTCCCAGGTGACTAGTGTCATTCAGAACACCCATCTCCTTGAGGCAAAGGGTTTAGTGGTCCTTGAGCCACTCCCATCAGAATGAGTCTCAAGATTGAACCTGGGGATCTTGGGTACAGATTCTCTTCTTTCTGTTCAGGAATAAGGAGACATCTTATTCTTGAAGATTCTGGCAGCTATTTCCTGAGAAAGTCATAGAGACAGACCTAGACTCCTGGGCATTCTGGCTCCCACAGAGCATCAAGGGCTTGTAACCACTTCGCCATCTCTACAGCCCCCTGTCCTGTCTCTTTACATAAAACTTCTTGGTGGGGAGACAGAGAGAGACAAAGACACAGACACAGATTTTAAAATAACAGGTGGTTGAAGTATTCGGTCCCATGAGGGATACATTCTCTGTATTGGTTGTGACAGTTTCAGTTGAGTTTTCTCTGGCAACTCAAAGCACTTTGATGATGCTCAAAGTTAAGTTTCGCAATCACCAGAACGACTACTGCCCAGACACATGCCTTGAATATGAGGCTGAGAAAGACTAATGAGAGCTGACAGCCAGGAAGGATGACTGAATAAGAGCATGGGATTTCAGTGGTGGGAGGAAAAACATTCCAGGTTAGAATGGAAGAGTGAAGAGAGAAGGATGTGTTTCCAAGATTGTGATTTTCTGTAAGGCTGTCAGAGTATAGGGAGCTTTGAAAGCAAAGTGGAGCCAGGCATTGTGTCATACGCCTTTAATCCTAGGACTCTGGAGGCAAAGCAGGTAGATCTCTGTGAGTTAGAGTCCAGCCAGAGCTACATAGTGAGGACAATAAAACAAAACAAAAACTACAAGTAAACGAAGCGGGTACATTTAAAGGTAATCGCCCAAAGGAAACCATCAGACAGTTTGAGCAGCAGTACTTTAACAGCTTCACAGATGTGTATGTACATTGACTTACAGGGGACACACACACACACACACATCATTCACAAAAAGATAAAGAAAAGGCTTCAAGGGCTAGAGAGATGGCTCAGCTGTTAAAGGCTAGGCTCACAACCAAAAATATGAGAAAAGGCTTCAAAATGAGGGCAGAGCCCTTTAAGAGCAGAGTCCAGGATGAGAGTTAGTGGCGGTCCTGACACAGCTGGCAGAACTGGACAGGAAAATAGTATCAACAAATATTTCCTGACCCACCAAGTTCAGGCACTCTTCAGGATTGGAAGACTATGGGCTGAATAAGATTGTCTCTTAGAAGACAGAGATGGGGTGTGCAGTAAAGACAGTGGGCTAGGCACCCAAACAGAGACATAAGCACAATCTAGGTTGAGTATTGGCTGGGACAGGAGGTTGGGAAAGATGTCACAGAGATACACGACAGCAGAGACAGAGGGAGAGAAGTCTCAACATCCTGACTGGGTTTAATGACAGTTGGGACTGGGAGTTAGGAGAAAAGGAGGATAGAAGCAGAATCCACAGCGCGAGGCGCGAATGCTCCCTCCAGGAGTGAAGGAAGGCCCTCCAGAGCAGCTGAAGATGTCCTGATGTAGAAGAGACTGGACCATGGCGATGCACTGCACAAGGAGGCTGATAATAACAACGGTGGTAACAAACAGCGGGCATGAATCCTGATCAAGGGTCAGGCCTGCTTCTCCACTGAATGAACTCACAGAACATTGCCGTTGTTTTCTTAATTTTGTGGATAAAGAACCCAACATGGAGAGGAAATGAAACCTCAAACTGAACAATTAGATTCCAGAACCACCATTTTGGGTTTTTTTCCCTCCATTTTCATGTGTGTGTGGTGTGCATTTGCATGTGTGTGGTGACATGTGGAGGGGGGTTGTAAGTACACTCTCATGCATGTGTATATGGAGGCTTGACTCACCCTTGACAGATCTTCCGCCTTCACTGAGTCAGCTCTGTCAGCCAAACTCATATGAGTAGCCTTGCTGGCCTGCCCGCTTAGGGCTCCCCGCCTCCACCTTCAGAGGCTGGAGTTACAGACATGCTGTCATGCCCACCTGGCAGTTACATGGAATGCTGAAGGTCTGAACTCCGGGCCTTATGTTTGCCTGCCTGCCGAGTGCTTAATCAGTGAGCCATCTCCCCAGCTGGTCCCAAGGCTTGGCAAGCATGGTCCTAAGCTGCTTAAGGAAATCTACAAGAAAAAGATGCATCTAAACTAATTTCAAGCCAAGGGAGGTGTGGAGTGATCGCTTAGGACAAAGTGGGTAGCAAGTGCAAGACAAGCGCTTGAGTAATCAGCGTTCAGCCTTTCCATGCTTTGGAGAGAGCCTCCTGCCAAGGCTGTAGAGGGTGGGGTGGGATGCAGAGAACCTGGGGGAACCCTGGGCCTCAGCGAGGCCAGCATGGGATTCTCAGTCTGCCTGAGAGAGTACTGTACACCCGAAATCAAGGCAAGCAGCATTTAATGAAGGCTGGTAGTGAGCTACTGCTGTCTCCTCCTGGAAACCGCGTGTTTGAGAACCCACTGGACACTGCTACAGAAGACACCGTTTTTGGAAGGAGCTGACTCAAATGACTTTCAGAGCAGGCTCCAAGGAGCCACAGCTGGCGGTTCTAGGGTTCCTCTTGGTCTCAGCCTCATCCGGGCACAGCAGAGACTGCAGGTAGCTGATGTACTTGATGGCAGCTCTGAGGGTCTCCACTTTGCTGAGCCGCTTCTCCAGGTAATCGTCCGGCAGGTGCCGCCGCAGCCGGGCGTAGCCTTCGTTCACACACTTGACGCGCTGCCTCTCCCGCTCGTTCCTCTTGCGGATGAAGGTGGGCCCGTAGGCATAGTCGCAGCGCCTATAGTTGGCATAAGGCATAGGGAAGGGGAAGGGGTATGGATCCCCGTAATTGTCCAAGATCAGGGTATCGCTGGGAAAAGGCAACAGAGGCAGCTCATCCATGTAAGGGGGTGGCACCGGGGCCTCAGGGCACAAGTGGACAGTGACCATGGGGTCCAGGTAGAAGGGCCTGGACAGTGGCAAGTGGGCAGACTCGGAGAAGACAGAGAGCCTGTCTGGAGGGCTGGGGTAGTTTCTGGTGTCCATCGCTTCCTCTTTCACCTAGAAATGGAGCCGTGCTTATCAGTTTGGCCAGATTAAAAGAGCAATTTTGATGTGTTTTCTTCAAGAATTATGTCTTACAGACTTCTGCATTGATAGTTACCTTTTTGGACTTATACAACTTGTAATTCCAGTACCCGGAAGGCTGAAGTAGAATGATAGTTGTGAGTTCAAGGGCAGCTTAGTTTACATAGTAAGTTCTCAGGTAACCTAGGATATATAGTAAAACTGTCTCAAAACGTTACCACCACCACGGAAGGAAGGAAGGAAGGAAGGAAGGAAGGAAGGAAGGAAGGAAGGGAGGGAGGGAGGGAGGGAGGGAGGGAGGGAGGGAGGGAGGAAGGAAGATAAAAAGGGAGAGAAAGAGAGGAATCCTTCCTTTTTTTCTTTCCTTTATCATAATTTTTATTACATTTAATTATTACTTTCTCTGTGTCTATCTGCCTGCCTACCCCCCTTCATTTGTGTGTGTGTGTGTGTGTGTGTGTGTGTGTGTGTGTGTGTGTGAGATGCTGGGGGTACTGGACCCAGGGCGCCTTGCACATGATCAGGAAAGTGCGTTGAGCTACATCACCTCTTTGCATTTGTCTGTATAAAGTAGCCTCAGTGGATTTTCCAGGGACGCCGTAGTTAGCAGTCACCTCGGAGGCGGGGAAGGAGTGCTTGTACGTCCTTCCACTGTAAATCCTTCAGTGTGAACCCTGACCTCACCTTGCCCTTGCCCTGTGTCCTCAGGCAGCTGTCTTAAGCTTCTCTGAGCCTCACTTGCCTCCTTTATCCACCTGAGGTCTTGACTATCCTGCAGTGGCTGAAAAGGTTTAAATTTAATAAGTCCAAGCCCCAGAATTAACCGTTTTCTTTTTCCTTACAGATGGACACTTATGGAGCCTCTCTTTCTCTGCACCTCATGGAGAATCAAAACATTGATGACTTCAAAGCATGGTTGCTGAGGTCTGAACATGCCTGTAATGACCAGCAGGGGTGATCTAACCAGGGGCCTCAAACAGCAGAGCACTGAAGTTCTTGGGCCACTTCTCAGGGAGTAATTTTCCAGTGTCTTTGGGAGTCACAGGCTTGGCACACCAAACAAAAAAAAAGAGGCGCGGCAAAAGCGAACCAACTGTTTATAGGCGAGGTTAGATAACGCTGGTGCCGCTCTCTCCGTTTGTTTGTATTTTTGAGACTGGGTCTTGCTGAGTATTTGCTGGCCTGATATTTGTTAGCTAGCTAAGGAGCTTAGGCATGTGCCACCACACCTAACTTGGCACTGGATTCTTTCTACCTGAGCCCAGCAGGAACACTATAGACCTTGCCGGGTGAGAGAAGGGATGGCCTTCAAGACCAGATTCTAGTGAGTTTCCATCTTTGTGAAAAGGCCTGGCTATGGCCTCTGAAAAGATAAGAAACTGGAATCAGAAAGGGCTGCAGGGGCTGAAGGGGTCTAGGGGGCTGTGGGGGAGGGGTAGAGGGCTAGAGGGCAGGTGAAGAAGAGGAAGGGTTGGAAAAAGCCACAGTGGGACCAGCTGGAAAAGGAGTGAATGCCTGGGAAAGTGTGCTAAAGAGGCTAGGGGAGGAGAAGTGATGTAGTGCCAATTAAAAACAAAAACAGAGGATCGGGAAATGGGAGAGTCCAAATTACTGACCAAATGACCCACAATAATTAACATATGACAAGACTCTCTGGAAGACTAAACAGGAGCCAGAATTCTGTCAAAAAGAAAAAAGCTGCTGAGAGAAGAGACTAATTAGGAAATTCCCTAGCTAGGAATTCAAGAGGCTGAGAAAAAAAGGGTAGGTATGACGAAGCCACAGAAGCCACCAATGGGGCCAAAGGATGCGGCTCGGCTAGTAGGTGCTTCCCTGGCATGCATGCAGCCCTGCGTGCCAATCCCAGCACCAAATAAACTAGAAGCTTAAGGTTATTCCAGACTAGCCTGGGGTCCATGAGATCCTGAGTCAAAACAAAACAAAGCAGGCAAATGGGAATGCAGCCTGCACCATTTATTTTTGATAATGGTCTTTTGCCTGCAGCTGACAAGCTAATGAGTGTCCTCATTAGCTTTGACTGTCACCCTAACATGGCCTAGAGTCATCTGAGAGAATGATTGCCTACATCTCATTGGCCTATGGGATATTGGGATATTGGCTATTTTGTTTCTCTTATTTTTATGTATGAGTGCCTGAATGTATGTATGTGCACCACATGTGTGCCTGGTACCCGTAAATGCCAGCAGAAGTGTCAGAGCCTCTGAACTAGAATTACAGGCAGTTATTTGCAAGTGGCCTGGTGTCTTTGCTGGGAACCAAACCCTTTGGTCCTTTGCAAGAGTAGCAAGTGCTTATAACAGCTGGACCATCCCTCCTGTCCCTAGGGTATTGTGTTGGCTCTTAATTGATGTCGGGGTCCTACCCCACTGTGGGTGCACCATTTCTTGGGCAGGTGATCCTGAACTGCAGAAGAAAGCCAGCAAAGCTCGAGTCAGCAAGCTGGAGAGTGAGTCAGCAAACAGGGCCTCTATGGTCTCAGCCTCAAGTTCCTGCTCCCTGGCCCTAGACCTGCTTTCCCTCCATGATGGACCGTGTCAACTGTAAGCTGAAACAAGCTTCTTTCTCCCCTAAGCTGCTTTTGCTAAGTGTTTTCTCACAGCAACAGACAAGAAACCAGAAGTCAGGTTCCTCAAAAGTAAAGCAGATATCCACCTATGCAGAATGTTATCTTGAGCCCTGGTTTTTACCCTGAAGAATAATTTAAATAATACCTTAACTCTTGACCCAGGTGAAATCTGAGTAATTTGTTTACACGACAGGTAAAATTAAGATTTTAGGTTTTAATGAGAGCTTGAATAATTCTTAAAGCATGGCATGTCTGAAGACACACTGATGACAAGGCTTCTCTACTGAACATATCCAAGGAGTCCCCCCATCAGCACAGGAGCCCTGAAGTATGATCGCTCACTTTCCATTACACAAGAGAATTTAACGTAACGTTTAGGGAAATGAAAGCACGCAGCCATGAAGAGGATGAAGACAGGGAGCCTAGGGGAGTCTGGATGGGGGAGCAGAGGGGGGAGTGAGCACATGTTTCAAAAGCAAGCAATGGGTTATTAATGCTACTATTCCAGGCTTCCAAACACACGCATGGTTGACAAACACAGCTACCATGGGAACAGCTCAGGTTTCTCTTAGAGCTCTTCTGGGAAATAAATAATGAGGTCTTACTGTTAAAATCCTAAGAGATTCTTGATGCTCTACTGAGCATTAAAAAAAAAATAATCTAGAATTAAAAAAAAAATAAAAAAGCCACCATTGCACATACAATTGAATTATGGGATGTGTGAGCTAGGGGAAAGCTAGGATGCCTCCTTCCCTCCCTCCTTGGAGTCTACGATAAATTGCTAAGGTTTCTAAGTCAGCAGCAATGCTGGTGCCAAATGCCAGAACCCAAGTTCATCAGATTTCATCACTGGGGCAAGCTGAGCCTTTCGTCATATAGGTCATCATAGATTTCTTAAGGCAATAACATAATCCTATTGATGACAAAATTTATCAGCTATACCTGGAGCTTTTTAAAAAAATCCTAGTCTCCCTATGGGCCACTATGGAGAAGTCTTACCTGTTTTGTAGTTCAAGATGCTGTATTTGGGGCTGAGTCTGACTGAACCTGATTTATAGGTGGTCATTTAGTAAAAATATGCAAAGTAGCTTACAGTTAAACAGAACCGGCTAGCTCTGGTTTAGCTGTTTTTTCTGCCTACTATGGAGCTATGACAGCATCTGACAATCTAAGTTGACAAGTTTGCTTATGAAACTGGACACTTGGGATGGGTTCTTTTATTTAGAGGGTCCTCCCATTCAGCCAGATTATATGGTTTTATATAAAGTTATTTATGAAAAATACAGTAGTCTCATAGTATGCAAATACTGGTCAATATGTTTTTAGAACTGAGAAGGTCCATATGACCTTTGAAGAATGAAGTCTTTTAGAAAGTGCAGTATAGCGACTCAACCCTGAGAGCTGGTGCTTTCATAGCGGCAAATAACTTTCTTTAAAACAAACAAACAAACAAATTAGGAACTGCCACAATGACAGTGCTTAGTTTTATATATGGGGAGAAGTTCTTACTGCTTACTCCCTTCAATCAACAGAAACTGGTGAGTTACAAGTAAAACCTGTTCTATATTATAGTTCAGCATAATTTTGTATCAAAATGTGTTTGAAGAGAGATGGCTTGGTAGGTAAGAGCATTTGCTTCACAAGCATAAGGACCCAAGTTCAAATCTCCCAGAAGATGCATGAAAAGCCAAAGGTGGTTGTACATATACCTGTAACCTCAGTGCCTGGGTGGAGGGCGGTCAGGTGGAGACAAGAAGATCAGTGGGGCTTGCCAGCACCAGACTAGTGCCACAGTCAGTGAGGGACACTGCCTCAGAGGAACAGGGTGCAGACTGATGAAGGGCACCTGACACCCTTCAGATAAATCATACACACACAAGCCTACATGCACAACATGCGTACACACAAGCAAAGATAAAAAGCTGGATCTCTGAAAATGTTTATTAAAATCTGTAGGAAAGGTCTTTACTTTAACAACAACAAAACACCAAATATGTGCCATGTATAATCTTAAACATCTCCAAGATAGTCTTAGAAAATGGCAAAATTTACACTAAGTGCAGGAAAGAAATGTAGTATTTTAAAAGATTTTTACGTTTTAATTTGTGTATCTCTGTGCATTAGTGTGTGGGCATGTGCACCTGAGTGCAGGTGCCTATGGAGGCCAGAAGGTGTCAGATTCCCTGGCGCTGGAGTTACAGGTGGTTGTGAACAACACAATATGGTGCTGGGAACTGAACTGGGGTTTTCTGCAAGCTCAACAAGAGCTCATAATTGCTGGGCCGACTCTCCAGCTTGGGCTGGCTAGTTTACATCAACTTAGTATAAGCTAGAGACACTGGAAAGAAGGGAACCTCAACTGAGGAAATGCCTCCATAAGAGTCGTTGTAAGGCATTTTCTCAACTTATGATTAATAGGGGAGGGCCCAGCCCATTGTGGGTGGTGGTCCTGGGTTCTCTAAGAGAGCCTGAGCATGCCATGAGGAGTAAGCTCGTAAGTAGCACCACTCAATGGCCTGTGATTCAGCTCCTGTCTCTGGTTCCTTCCCCATTTGAGTTCCTGTCCTGACTTCCTTTGATGATAAACAATTATATGGAAATGTAAGCCAAATAAAACCCTTCCTCTCCAACTTGCTTTTGGTCATGGTGTTTCATCATAGCAATAGTAATCCTAACTAAGACAGTGCCCCAACGCTTCTGTGTTATTTTTAATTTTTAACTGAGACTATGTAGCCCTGACTGACCTGGAATTCACTGAGTAGACCATGCTATCCTCAGATTTATGGAAGTCCACCTGCTTCTGCTTACCAAGTACTGGGATTAAAGGTGTACACCACCATGCCTAGCCCAACAATGACATTTTAAAAATCTTGTATTTCCATTAATTCTTGTTCTTCAATTGAAAGATAATTTCACATTTCCCTTTCTGTGTATTCCAGAAGTTACGCTGAATTCTTTTACCATCACAAACTCTGGTTCTTGGGCTGGGAGTGTTGCTCAGCTACTAGAGTACTTGCCTAGCATGCAAGAATCCCTGGGTTTGATCCTCAGCACCACACAAAGCTGAGCATGCTAACACACTCCCATAACCCCAGCATGTGGGAAGCATTAGCAGGAGGATCAAAATTGCCCCATTATCCTCAGCAGTGCATTGAGTTTGAGGGCAGCCTATGGTTTTCTATGAGACCTTTTCAAATCTGGACTCTATCTTCCTCTAGATTAAAATTCAGTGCTAAGTCTTCTTTGATAGACTTAGATGACCAGAATAGCAAATTGCTTTAAAGACATTTTCCAAGACCCAGTTTGGGGTAAAAGCAGCTCTTGGCCTTTGGCCTCTGTATCAACACTGGTCTCTTCAAAGGTAGTTTTTCTGAAGCTGAACAGCATCTCCATACTTCCAGGCTTGGTTTCCTGGCATTAAGTGAGCCACTTGCAAGGAAAGGAGATCCCACTGAGGAAAACAGCCACATGTGGCCAGAGGTTATGTCTTTCTGTGGCAGCTGCAGCCATCTACTCAGGGGCTGTGGGGTTTCCTTGATGGAATACAATGTTTCTTCTGGTTGAAACTGAAGATGATGAGCTTAACTACAAAGAAACAGGGTGAGGGGTGCTTTCTTGGGAAAACTTCACAAGTAGCTGACAATGACTTTGAACTTCTGATCTTCCTAGATACATCTTCCAAGTGCTGAGATTATAGGCATGCACCACCACACCTGATTTATATGCTAAGGACCAGACCTGGAGCTTCATGCATTCCAGACAATCACTCTACCAATTGGGCTACCTCCCCCAGCCATTTTTTCTTAAGTACTTTATGAACATTGGTGCGTGTGTGTCTGTGTGTGTTCATGTGCGGAACTCAGAGGACAACTTGCAAGAGTTGGCTCACTCTGCTAAGTGAATCCCAGGGATTCTCAGGTCATTGGGCTTTGCAGCAAGCACCTTTACCTGCGAGTCACCTCCCTGACCCAGTTGTACTTTTAACTTTCAAATTCTACCCAACCTGTTCTCTGCTTGTACCTAGGAAAGCACCTGGCTTTTACATACTGTAATCTTGAAACCTTGCTGGAATCACTTACTCATTCCAGGTTTTGTTGTTTGGTTTTCTACTTAGAAAGAGAGAGTGTCATCTTTAAACAGTCTCACCATCTCCTCCCACTCTATATACCCCTCCTTTTATTGCACGAGCTAGGACTCCTAAGGTGATTTAAAAAGTGTCACAAGAGGACATCCTTGTCTCTCTGATCTCAAGGGGAAGTAAATATAATTATTACCTAAATATATATATATTTTTCCATTTTTCCCTTCAGATACTGGTTTCATTCTGTAGGCTATGCCATTCTGTAGGCTACTTGAACTCCTGGCAATTCTTCAGCTTTGGTTTCGTAAATGCTGGCCTTACAGAAAAAGTCACTATATCCAGTTTGTAATTCTTTATCTGGTTGGGGAAGTTCCCCTTAGTCCCAGTTTTCCAAGAGTCTTTTGTGTGTACACAAGTCCACACACACGTGGAAATCAGAGGCCACCCTGTGGTGTCAATCCTTACCTTGTTCGAGCCAGGATGCATAAGCCGGGAGAGCTGGCCCACTCACACCACAGCCTGCAGCTTTTTAGGAGGGTGCTGGGGATTTGAACTCAAGTTGTTAGGTTTGTATGGCAAGCATTTTTACACACTGAGCCATCACCTCAGCCTGAGATTTTATTTTTCATCTTTATGAATACAACTTACTATTTAATGTGATTTTGCCAAGAACTTCACAGAATTGGCACTCCTTTATGAATTTTGTTTATATATATATATATATATATATATATATATATATATATATATATATGTCTGTTTTTTCATATATATCACATACATACGTATGTAGGTGGGGGTCTCGTTACACAGCCCAGAATAACTCTGAATTCCAAGCAACTCTCTTTCCTCAGCCTCTTGAGTGCTAGGATTATAGCTATGTACTGCCTAGAATACTGGTTTATGAAGTTTAAGGCCTTCAACTTGTCTGATATGTGTGTGCCTAAGACTACATCAGCTTTCTCTCTGCACCCATAATACGGGGCCAGTGTTTTAGGATGAGGCTGCCTAACATGTTTTCAAACAACAGGGCACCAAATGTCTCTGTGTCACCATGCTTGTCACACAGCACAGGAGGAAGGAGAAAAGGTTGAAGAGCAGACACACTGATAGGGGTTTTGCAAATTATTTTATTGTTACATTCCAAAGAGGATGTAGGAAGAAAAAGAGCCAGTTATCCAATAACTGTTAGACTTCTCAGAGAGAGGCAATCTGAACTCCAGTCCTAGTTCAAAGCTGCCACATTAGTTCAAATAGCAGCCGCTCAGCAGGACAGTAAAGGCTGACCAGTATGTGTTTGTCATTCATCCAGGGAGGCTTGGGCTTAAGAGAAAATGTCTTTATTCTAAATATTCAAGTCCTTAGAGATACTAGAAGAAGATGAGGAAGACCACACACTGAGACTGTGTTTAGTTACCAGAGTAAACTAGCAAATGGCCAGTTTGTTCTAGGACATGTTGCGTCAGACACCACAGTGCACGAAACAAGTCTGCACTTCGTGAGGAGCCGCCAGGCAGCTCAGCTCCAACTTCCCATGGAATGCAGCCACGGGCCAACCAGAACCCTAGGTAATGTAGTCAGTGCAGAAGTCACGTGGGAGGCCAGCACACTGATGAGCCATCTACACTGGAAATATTAACACGTTTGAAGTAGAAGGCCTGGCGTATTTACAAGTTTGTCTAATAAAGTGACTCGAGAGAAACTATTCAAGCACTCCCAAGACTTCCATTTATTTTCCCACCACAAAAAACCAGAAGCAAAAACACACCTGAAAATTTTCTTGAAAACCAAGTTAGAACTGTGTGGTGAGAAAGAGAGAGCTTGTTCCAGGCACAGGACTTCAAGATAACTCACAGGCAGCTTAATTAGTAAAAGTCACAAGTAGGAAAAGATTTACTGGCTGACTTGGAACTGTGTGCTTTAAAAACGTCTCTATTAATACATTAACAAGAAAAATACCAAGCATGGGGTTTGCTTCCAATTCTGAGTCTTCCTCCATCCAACAAGGATTTGTAAAAACAACGGGCATTAAAACCCATGGACACCAGCCACTTCCTCCCAGTTGCCGTGTTTTTTCTAGTCACCTTGATTCCAACTCCCAGTTAGCTGAGGACGACATGTCGGTCAAAGACAGACTTTCGCTGCTCCTGAACCTGAAGCTTCCAGCGCTGCTGAGCATACTCCACCTTGTTTAGAACGTTGGCACGGCTTCGAGAGCGGGCCAGCACATCGTGGGCATTTGCAAAAGGCTGATGATCCTGAAAGTCAGTGTGGAAGGTGTTAGAGATGGCAGGATCAGCATTAAACATGTAAGAACAAACAGCCTGTGAGCAGACCTTGGGACTGGTGTTCCCACTCTTTACCAATCAGAAGAGGGCAAACTCAGCTACAGAAACAGAGGATTCCAGGAACAGGGGCAGTAAGGGGCATGTGAGAAATCCATTCATAGGTCACAATCCAAAGGCATTTTCCTTAAGGAGCAGAAACTAAGACAAGGACAATGGTCATTTGCCTTACAGAGAAGTTTTCCATAGTTAGTGGGAGAAAATATTCTCCCACTATTTTCTTGGGCCAGTGAAATGGCTCAGCAGGTAAAGGCCTTTGACACCAAGCCTGATGTTTGATCCCTGAGCCCACACAAAGGAAAGAGAGAGCCGACTTCTGCAAGTTGTCCTCTGACCTTCAAATACCTTGAGGTATGCATGTGCCCACATTCCCACCCCTGCCCCCCTCATAAACTAATTAATTAATGGAATTAAACTTTTTGAAGGGGCTAGTGAAATGGATTAGCAGTTCAGAATGCTTGCTACTCCTCCAGAAGACCTTAGCAGTTCAGAATGCTTGCTACTCCTCCAGAAGACCTTACAGGGGTGTTCCCAGCACCCCTGTAAGGCAGCTCACAGTTGCCTGGACTCCAGATGCAAGGGATCGGACACCCTTGTCTGGCCTCTGAGGCATCTGCAAAAATGTGCATATACGACACACAAAACTTTTTAAATCTTTTTAAAAATGTTAGCCATTTTTTTGTACTATTCTTTCCCTTGAAATATGGTCTTGCTATGTCACCCAGACTAGCCTGCAACACTGTAATGGTCCAGACTGACCCCTGACTAGTGGTCCTCCAACCTCCTGCTCCCAAGAGCTAAAAGGCATAACCACCCATGCCGCTTAAGAAAGCCTGTTTTCACATTACTATCTCCATTACAGATATGTAGGACTTTCCTCTGTACTGATCAGTATTTCATAGCTCATCTGTGGCAGAAGGGAGCTCCGTCTTTTTATTTCCCAATTTCCATTATGTCAGAACTGTTAACATTTCAGCCGAGGGCCCCTAGAGCAGGCAGAAGCTCTCAGGGCCATGTCTTGGCCGGTCTTGAGGTCCTCTGGGCCCTCAACATGCACCATGAGCTGTTTTCCAATACTTTCTGGTTTTCCTTCTTCCCACTGCAGTGAGACAGAGCTCAGGTGCTTTAGTTCCTTCTATTATCAAGCAGCATGAGGATTGGCTTACTTCAGCATGTCTAATCAACAGAAATATCTTTCATTACAGAGTGCTCCATGGCTTCCATGTTAACTGCTATCTTAGGAAAGAGGCTAGTGAAGGTTATCCAGGTTTGTGTACAGAGCCAGGTTCTCCTGTCAACATAAACTAATGCAACGGCATGTTTGTAGTTGCTACACAGGAAACCATCTCACTAATCTGCCTATGGATGTGATGTCAACACAGCTGCCTACATGACAAACAGCTTCAATTGTAATTTACTGTTTTTGTTTTGCCTTTTCCTTGAGTTTTTTCCTCAACCCTATGTCAGCAAAGTTTCTAAATGTTCCAACAAAGGCCCGGCCTTTTAAACTAGGTTTGCCTACAGGAGAGAAGCAACATCATTCTAATGCATGTAGGCAGCTGGGACTGGGGCAGGAGTGGACATGGCGTGGAAAGCTATGCATAGCCACCTGACTCCATTACAACTGTCACTACTGGGCTTTTACCTGGTCATGTTTCTACAGCAAGACATTTCTTCTATGTTTATATATCCCAAGAATTCTTCCTTTTTATTTAAAGATTTATTTATTTGTTATATGTAGGTCTTTCCTGCATGTATGTCTGTGCACCATGTTGATTCCTGGTGTCCATTTAAGGCAGAAGAGAATGTCAGACCACCTGAGTCTGGAGTTAAAAATGGTTGTGGGCCATCATGTGGGTATGGGGAATAGAACCCATGTCCTCTGCAAAAGTATCAGTGCTCTTCACTGCTGAGCCATCTCTCCAGCCTTTTTAAATGTTAAAATATTGATTTATTATTGTGTGTGAGTTTGCATGTCAAAGGGCAACTGTGGAGTCCACTCTCTCTTCGCCTCTGGGTTTGAGTTCTGGGAAATGCATTAGGCTGCTGAGCTCGCTCCTGTAGTAAGTGCTATTACCCACTGAGCCATCTTTCTAATTATGTGTATGTGGGTAGATGTGTGCATATGAGCGCAGGTGTCCACAGAGGCCAGAAGAGGATGTTAGATCCTCTAGAGCTGGAGTTACAGTTGATTGTGAGCCACTGAACTCCGGTCCTTGGCAAGAATAGTGGGTGCTTTTAACTGCTGAGCCCACCACAAAGACTTTTCTAAAAGAAGTCTTTGTCTTCTGTATCAAAATGTCCTCCAGTTTTTATTTAACTTAGGCAATGTCTTCTGCAAATCTCATCACTTGTTTTTAACTCTACAAATGAAAATAATAAAGGTAATGCCATGAATCTAAGATGCTTCACAGATACAGAAGGAAAGAGGAAGGAGGAGGAAGGCTAGCTGGGTATGGTGGCACACAGCTATAATCCTAGAGCTTGGCAGGACTGCTGCAGGGCTGAGGCCAGCCTGGTATAGAGAGTTCTAGGTTAGCCAGGGCTACAAGCAAGCCCCTATTGAGATGCAGAGACATTGAGAAGGATAGTAGGGGAGAAGGAGGGAGGAAAAGGATTAAAAAGAAAAAAAAAAAAAAAAAAAAAGGAAAGTAGAAGGCTAAAGTAGCATTACTTGATTTCCAATAAGGAAACAAGCTGGTCCAAGGTCATTTAACAAATTAGCACAAACACTAACACTTGTATGCCTAACCCTAAATTGGTGCCGTACCTTCCAGCACACCAAAACCAAATTATTTTGGGTAGATTACTATGGGAAAATGGTGCATCAGTGATTTTGTATATAAAATATTACTACCATTGGTTTATTTGGACAGAAACAATACTGACAAGAAGGAAGGCTTTGTCAGAGCCTCTCAGTCACACAGTCCTGTCATCTACCCCTCAAGGAAGCGAGTAAAAAAAAAAAATGAGGAAAAAAAATCTTAAGGAACAAACTCAAATGACTAAACAAACCAGTTAATCCTTTCGGTCTGCTATCCACCTAGAGAACAAGATTGGACTAGCTGCTCAGACACTGGGAGAATGCAAATGGGGATTTTCACTTTCATAAGTTTGTTCTTTTTACACCTGATAAAATTACAATGAATACAAAGCATGCTTTAGTGGAATGTTTAGATAATAGTGACTGTGTGTCCCAGATATATGATATGACAAATACTACCATTGTTTGATGTGAACCTCTCGACTGATTGTACTCCTTTATTTGGCCTAAAATGTAATACAAGTGGTGAAAAAAATTTAAATGTCTTAACAATAAACCTTTAAAAAGTATATACTAAAGAAGCTAAACAGTTCATAGAAACTGAATTTTAACTTCTGTTTGTACAGTTAAACTCACAGCTTTGGTTGGAAAACCTTTCTCTGCCTAGAATCAGTTTGACAATATCAGAGTCAGCTGGGACTCTTAGTGACAATATTCTCCAATAGTCAAATATGTAGGCTGAATTAATCACTGATAGGCAAAGTGGTTACTAAGCATATGAGCCCATCAATCAATGTCACCCGGCATATTCACACCTACACATTTTTTCACCAATTTACGTTCTGCATGTATTTTATTAACATTGCCTCTGAGAGAGCAGCAGGTAATTAATGCTGTAAGGATCTATGAGTCAGCATAAGCTTTTGTGCTAGGAGTGAAAACACTGTGAGGCCTTCAATAAACATTTTATACCAGTAGTTCTCAAGTGGTGGTGATTCTGTCCCCCCTGCCAGGTTTCTTAAAGACAAGGCTTCTCCACAACAAAGGATAATCTAACCCTAGTATCTATAGAGTCAGAGTTGAGAATATATAAATGGAAATTACCATGGAAACAGTGTTTGAGATTCTACTGCTTCTGAGATACAACTTCTCTCTAGGCATTAATCCTACCTACTATGTCTGTTTTATGTGGATTGTGTTTAAGATTTGTTGTTTTTAATTATGAGTATGTGTGTGCATGTGCCTGCACAGACTGGAGGCCAGAGGCAACGGAGACCCTGAAGCTGGATTTACCGGCAGTTGTGAGCTATTTGATGTAGGTGCTGGGACTAAAATTCAAATCATCTGCAAAGCAGTATGTGTCCTTAACCACTAAGCTATCTCTTTAGCGCTTTGGGGTTTTTTGTTTATTTTGTATTGAGACATGTTTTCAGGTTGCCTAGGCTGTCACTGAACTCACCATGTGACCAAGAATGACCTTTAACTTCTAGTCATCTGCTCCTAAATCTTGGCATCACAGGTATGCACCACCACATGCAGCCTGTCTGTGCCTGTTCTGTATTTATTTTATTTTATTTATTTATTTATTTATTTATTTATTTATTTATTTTTGAGACAGGGTTTCTTTATGTAGCTTGACTGTCCTAGTCTTACTTTATAGACCAGGCTGGCCTTGAACTCACAGAAATCCACCTGCCTCTGCCTCTGCCTCTGCAAGTGCTGGGATTAAAGGCCTGCGCCACCACTCCCCAGCTAAAAACCTTGATGGTTGTCAGCAAGCTTACCCCAGGCTTGGCTTTTACAATTGACTCTTAAAATTACAATGAATTTTATCTGCTTTTAGGAATGTAGTCCAATAAAATGGAAAGAAAAAGATCATTCTAAATAGTAATTATATACGATAAGAAAGTAGTGGAATATTCAGAAATATCCTACATATATTGATAGAATTAATAATCAATTCTCTAAACTATACTAACCGTATGGATTATGTCAACTCCTAGGCATTTTTACATGTGTTATCTGGGTGTAGCTACATGAATGTCTGTGTGTGTACACATGTGTGTCAGTGCATATGCACATGTGCGTGCAGGCCTGAGGCTGACCCTTGGGGGCTTTCTCTGCTGCTCTCCTTATTTACTGAGGCAGGTTCTCTCACTTTAACCCAGAGCTCCTGGTGTGATTAGTGTCGTTAGGCAGCTGGCTCGTGGATACGCTGTCTCCACCTTGTGTATGCTGGAATCACAAGTAGGCCACTTGCCCACACAGTGTGAGAGTTCGGAGGATCCAAACTCTGCCCTCACACTTGCACAGCAAGCGATTTATTCCCCAAGCTGTCTTCCTAGTCCCTTCTAGACACTTTGAATGAAGTAATATTAAAACAAAAAAAAGAGACCACTATACAGTTTACACACTGGTTATAACAATCATAAGGGTTTTGAAGATAGAAAAATCTCTAGAGTGATGGCTAAATTTTTTCTAAAATTAAAAAATCAGTGTTTTTAAGCAAGAAGATAAAAAATATAAAACAGAAATTATTGAAACACAAACAAGAAAAGAATGTCAATGCTTTCATTTTCCCCTTTCATTCAAGCATGCTTGCCTTTTTTTTCCTTTTCCTTCCTTCCTTTTTTCCTTTCTCTCTCCTTCCTTCCTTCCTTCCTTGCTTCCTTCCTTTCTTTCTTTTTGAGCCAGGACCTTACTATTTAGCACTAGTTGCCCTGGGACTCACTATTTGGACTAAGCTGGCCTCCACCTTATAGAGATCCTCACCACTACATTCCAAGTGCTGGATTAAAGATATGAGCCACTACACCCAGCCACCTGCTTGCCTTCTAAAGCATCAGGTGCTAGAGGCAAAATGTTTTGCAGGAGCCTGAGTTAAAAAGCTAACCCAGATGTTTTCCTCAGTACAACAGTGCAGGTTCCTATGTAAGCCCTAACCAAGGACCATCCGGTCAAACAACTACATCTACAGCTTGTTAGCACCATTTCTTTCCAGAAAGAGACTCAAGTTAGAACTCACTTCAGTGTCTCAATGGGGAGCTGCACTAACATGAAAACATCTACCTAGGGCCATTTTCACCACACAGATGAGGGTAGAGCCTGGCAATGAGCAGCTACCACAGCGCCAGAACTTACCCCAATGTCATCATCACTCTGCAACAGCTGTGAGTGTCCAAAGAGGCGCCTCTTCAGGATGGGCTCAATTAAGGTAAGATATACCATGTATAGAAGTAGAAGGCCCAAAATAGAGAGATAAATTATAATGGTAACCTAAAGGACAAGGAAAAAAAGTCACAACTCTATTCCAGCCAAGAAGTCAAAGTTTGTTTGGTAACAGTGACTTCGTGGTGAAGACATCTGCTCAGTGCATAGGATTTGTGTACCAAGCAGAGTCCAACAGAAGATGCAAACTGAATCCAACAGAACAGGAGAAGAGGGAACACAGCTTTGCTTCTGATCTTTTGCAGGTCCACTGTGGCCTGCACAGAAGCTTCTTCCTTCAGCTGAGCACGGCGTCTACGCTCAGCAGTGTCACTGCCAAAACAACCTACAGGACCCAGCTGGAACTGTGATTCAGGTGGATCTCAGCAGAACATCCCTTCAGATGGACGGAGGTCAGCAAACCTTTGGCAAGGCAGTGATTTTTGTGGGGATAGTAATTTGTGTGCTGCCAAAGGTGTAACACTCACTCAGTTGGCTATAATAAAACATAAAACACCAACCTTTGGCAAAGGCATGGAGAGGTGGAACCATCACACAATGCTGGCAAAATGGTGCAACCACTTTGGAAAATTGTCTGGTCACCTCTTAAACAAACAAATGTTCTATTCTGAGGGATTTTTCCAAGAGAAAAACAAACACATATCCATACAAAGACACTTATGGCAGTATTATTTATAATTTAAATATGGAAACAATATAAATATTCATGAACTGAGAAGCAGTCATATAATGGAATACTATTTAGCAATAACATGAAATGAAGTCTGGTGCACACTACAACTCAGACAAAGTAAAGAATCACAAAGGGTGACATACGACTTTACCTACATGAAATATTAAAATGTGTACAGGCAGAAAGTGACAATTTGGGACCAGGGACAGAAATGTTTAAAAACAGAAGTTTAAGACAGACACTGTTTTAATTTACTAAATTATATACTTAAAAGCAGGAGAATTTTAGGGTATACAAATTATATATTTAAAATTCTGTTAAAAAGCATATGAGTTGGAGCTGTAGTTCAGTGGTCAAACATTGTCCTGTTAAGTGTGAGACCCTGGGCTCCACAAAAAAAGGGCACTGGGGAGATGGTTCAATGGCTAAGAGCACTAGCTGCTGCTGGAAGACCCAGGTTTTGTTCCTGGCACCCACACAGAGAATTATAACTGTCTATAACTTTAATTCCCAGGGTCTGATGCCCTCTTCTGACCTCTATGAACATCAGGCATGCAAAACATCCATATATATAAAAGAATAAAATAGTAATAATTTAGGGGATTTGAGAGATAGCTCAAAAGCTTAGTGCACTTGTTGCTCTTTATAGATGAGCAGGTTCAATTCCCAGCACCCAAATGTTGGCTGCCAACCATCCATAGCTCCAGCTCCAGAGGATCTGATGCCCTCTTCTGACATCTGTAGGCATCAGCCATGTACACAATGCATAAACATACATGCAAGCAAAACTCTCATGCATAAAACAAAAACCAATCAGCCTTTTACAAAACTGATGGAAAGAGAAAGGGCAGGGAAAAAGAGAAAAGAACATCACAACCCCAAGGCATGGTGAGATTTCGACTCAGAAGTGATGCCCTACATTCTTTCTGAGGCCTTTTTCTTTTTTTGAGATAGGGTCTCTCTACATAGCACTCTCTGTCCTGAAACTTTCTATGTAGACCAGGCTAGCCTCGAACTCACAGAGATCTGCCTGCTTCTGCCTCCTGATTATGAGGCCTTTTCCATTTGAGGAATGGAATGGGAAGCCAAAAATCTTAATACAAACAAAGAAACCTGAGAACAACCATTTGACACCATAATAAAGTAACTGAGCTCATTAGAGATCTGACGGTGATGAGTTAGCCACATCCCATTTCCTTCGGGAATAGAAGACCTAAAGTTATACTTCTACAATAGTGACTAAACACATCATTCAGTCAAAGGGTTGGAGGACAGGGGGAAAGACAGCTTGAAAATGGCTCAGAGGTTAAGAGCACTGGCTGTTCTTCCAAAGGTCCTGACTTCAATTCCCAGCAACCACATGGTTGTGCATAGCCATCTATAATGGGATCTGATGCCCTCTTCTGGCCTGCAGGCCTACAAGCAGGCAGAACACTGTATACAAAATAAAAAACAAATCTTTAAAAAAAAAATGTTGTCTCATTGACCTTTAGCATACATGGTCCCGAGAGAAACTACGATACATTTCCAGAATACAGAATATGATAATCAAACATAGCACATTCAGAGCCATATAACTTGTCTGTTTATCCTAACTAATCCAGAAAGCAAAAGCAGATCCACTGTTACTTTTAGGGGAGTTCAAATGTTTCTGTCTTTGCTGGAGAGTGTGTTTGAGTGTGTGTACATGCATTCGTGTACGTGCACATGCTCATGTTTCACCTTGATCGTGACAGAGCTTCTTTCTTCATATTTGCATTCACATCGCAGACAGTATGCTTCTACATCAGGGCCCCGCACAGGCATCGGCTCCACAACATGAAGGCAATCACTGAAAAGGCAAGGGTAAAACACTGCAGAGACCGGGCTTCGTAGCCTCCCGTCTGTGATCAAAACTTTTCCCGAAACCCAGAATGGTCATTGAGCTTACCCAAAGAAATGGAATGACTAATCAATAAATCAAAGTGAAATAATTTCCTCTCCTAGTATTAGCATTTCGGTAAGATTTAATAACATCGAAAGCCAAAGACACTATAAGACGCCAAAAGGCAATGGCTGACTCTGTTATTAACAGTTTCAGATGCCCTAGAAAAATCCCAAACTATATATATATAAACTACTTGCCAAAAACAAGTCTTATTTAGACTTGCCCAGTTACCAAGCAAAGCTCCTTTAGATGCTCTAAAGTGACACAAGGCACTGTTTAAATATTATCTCTTGTAAGTTAATCACATCTTTATTTTCATTTGTGCGAGTGTGGTGCACGTGCGTGCATGTGTGTGTGTCTGTATGTGTGTAGGTACACACATGCTAAGACCAGAGCAGAATGTCAAATATCCTGCTCTATCCTGCTGCACCTTACTCCCTTGAGACAAGGTCTCTGCCTGAAACTGGGGCCAGGCCGGCAGCTGGCAAGCCCCTGAGATTCCCCTGCCTCTGCTCCCTACACCTCTGGAGTGACAGGCATACATGGCCACACCTGGCTTTTTATATGAGTGCTGGAGATTCCGGCTCAGGTCCTCATCTACAGCAAGCATTCTTACCCATTAAGACATTCCCCCTGTCCCAGTTAACTATTTTTATATTATAATCTCATCATCATTTTGGTTTTTCATCACAAGGTTTCTCTGTGTATCTCTAGTTATCTTAGAACTCATTTATAGATCAGGCTGGCCTGTAATTCAAGAGATCTGCCTGCCACTGCCTCTTGAGTGTTGGGATTAAAGGTGTTTGTCACCACACTCAACTCCCAATTAACATTATTTTTAATTGCCACAATGTAGCATTTAATGAAAGGGTTCATTATGAAATGTTGAAAAGTGGACCCCTAAAGCCACAGTGAGAAAAATTCCATTCTTGAGCCAATTATGCTGGCACATGCTTTTAATCCCAGCACTTGGGAGAAGATAGAGACAGGTGGATCTCTGTGAGTTCCAGGACAGCCTGATCTACAGAGCAAGTTCCAGGACAGGCAGGGGCTGGAGAGATAGCTCCAGCAGTTAAGAGTGTTTAATGTTCTTGTAGAGGACCTGGCTTTGGTTACCAGCATTGCTATCAGGCAGCTCACAACCACCTATAATTCCAGTTTCAGGAGATCTGATGCCCTTTGACCTCCAAGGACACCTGCATGAATGAGGTACACATAAACACATGTAGGCACACATATATACATATAAATTAATTTTTTTTAAGTATTGTAAATGAAGTATACAAAAATAAAAGAGATAGCCAGGCATGGAGGTACATGCCTTTAATCCCAGCACTCAGGAGTCAGAGGCAATTGGATCTCTGTAAATTCAAAGCCATCCTGGTCTACAGAGTGAGATCAGGACAGCCAGGGCTTGTTACACAGAGAAACCATGTTTCTAAAAAACTAAGAGAGAGAGAGAGAGATGGTTTATTTAAAAAAAAAAAAAGCAATACTATCCAAAATGTTTTCTCAGAATCTGTCATTTGTAAAAAATGATTACTTTCCACATTGCAATTAAGTACATGAGGTGTGTGCTCAATGCTTCAGACAAATACTTTACCCACTGCTCGGTCTCTTCAGCCTTTACTTCCATTTTAGTTTGTCTTCTTTAGTCATCTATGGCTGCCTCAAGAATGCTACACTACAACATCATCCTATTTTATCCCAGCCACTCAGTGTTCTGAGAGGATTCCTCATTTGACCTACCAAAATGCACCTTTTCATGTTTTGTTGCCTCTGAACTATATAGCATTAGAAACAAAACTCAAAATGGTATAAAATGGTATAAGTGATTAAAAATTTAATTATCTATAATAAGTAATTTAATTTAAACAAAAGCTGGACATGTTGATGTACACCTATAATCCCAGCACTTGGAAGGCTGAGGCAGGAGGATTCAGAGTTCCAGGTAGGCCTGGACTACACAGTGAGACCTTGTTTCAAAACAGGAAGGAAGAAAGTAGGGAAGGAAGGAAGAAAAGAAGGAAGGAAGGGAGGGAGGGAGGAGGAAGGAAGGAAGGAAGGAGAGAAAGAGAGAAGGAAAGAAGGAAAGAAAGAAAGAAAGAAAGAAAGAAAGAAAGAAAGAAAGAAAGAAAGAAAGAAAGAAAGAAAGAGGCAGAAGGAGAAGAGAGAGGGAAGGAGAAGAAAAGGCTGTACAGGGCTTGAAACAGCAGGAAGGTTGCTGGAAACAAAAACAAGCCAAGATGTGGCTCAACTACTCTTAGCAACTAGGAAACACCTCCACCTAGTGCTCGAGGGAAGAATCAGCTTTGAGCCAGATCCCAAAGAGAGTACTACTCTAACTTTCCTTGTTTTTAATCAGCTATTCCAAGTCAATGAAGAATTTTTAAAGCTAACAACTGGACAAAACAAGGAGCTCAGAGAACAGAAGGGTTTGTTTTTGGTTTTTCAAATAGGGCTTCTCTGTGTAATAGCCCTGGCTGCCCTGGAGCTCCCTCTGTAGACCAGGCTGGAATTGAACTCACAGAGATCCGCCTGACTCTGCCCCGAGTGCCGGGGTTAAAGATGTGTACCACTATCACTAGGCTGAGAACAGAGGTTAAAGTGTATTTAGGGTCTTGAAGATGCAGATACCGGGGTCCGCAGGGAACCATAGCATCCTAGTCTAACATAACCTTCCATCTTTCTGAAGTTAAAAATTCCCACTGTCAGCCAGGCATGGTGGCACACGCCTATATTTCTAGCACTCTGGGAGGCAAAGGCAGGTGGATCACTGTGAGTTCGTAGCCAGGTCTACAAAGCGAGTCCAGGACAGCCAGGGCTACACAGAGAAACCCTGTCTCAAAACAAATAAACAAACAAAATAAATTCCCATTGTCAATTGGGACCATATATCAGCAAAAGACTTACAAGCAAGGGAAAGTAGGAGAAGGAAAATCCCAATAAATCTTGTTCTCAAATATTTTCAAAGAAAACTATTTATTTTCAAGGCTCCTAATTTAAATGTATAACCAAGGATGAAAATGTGGCCCTGTCTCACACAGAATAACAACAACAACAAATCAATGTTAAACACTTGAAAAGTGAATTCTGTTGCCACTGCACTAATACATATCATATTTTGTTACCGATAAGAAAACAAACTGATTATCCATGCTCAACAGTCTTGGGAAATGACAGACATAACTTAAAGATATACGTGAGGGCTGGGGATACTGCGCAGGGGAGAACAACTGCCAGCACTCACAAGGCCCTGATCTCCAGAACAAAGCGAATTTGAGCTTGCATGTATTATATAAGGTAATACAAAACTCTCGAGAAATACACCCCAGTCACTTTATAATACATAAATACTGTAAAATGGAACACAGACGTTCACAAGATCACAAGGACACACCAAACAGACTGAATCTAAAAGCATATGGTAGGAAGAATAAACAATGGCACCAGAGAAAATAAATGTGCTTAAAGTCAATTTGGAAACTTGTGATGAAATAAATTTAATCTTGCTTTCTGGTTGCTGCTAACTACAGAGCTGTGAAGTCAGGCACACACTAAAGTACTTATCATTTGGAGCTATTCCCAGCAGCCTTCCACTATGACATCACAGTCCCACTGGGGGAAGGACATCCATCCTGCTCTATAACCTGCCACTTCCTGTTCAAGGCACATACAGAAAAACCTGCCATTCAAGAACTTAAAGCCAGCTTGGTGAACAAAACACATGCCAGGCTGCTTTGGGCTACATAGTCAGATCCTGTCTCAAAACAAAAATTAAAAACAAAACCTAAACCAAAGCAACCCCCTACCCTCAGCAAAAACTGTATGACTGAAGCCAGATGGTGATGGCACATACCTTTAATCTCAGGGCACAGCGGCAGAGGCAGGTGGATCTCTAGACCAACCTGGTCTACAGAGCAAGTTCCAGGACAGCCAGGGCTATACAGAAAAATCCTGTCTCAGAAAAAAAAAATTAAAATAAAACCTTTTAAAAACTGTATGAGTTTTCTGGCCTCCACAGACATACCTGTCTACATGGACACACAGAGTT